GGAACGCGTCGCTTACGTTCACTGAAATTTCACTTGAGCATGAAGCACTAGAGACAACATATAATAGTTATTAAAAAAAGGTTATTCCTTGAAAAAAATTAACTGAAGGAAGAGCAACAAATATTTAGGACTTACCCTTCAGTTGACATTTCGTCTTAACTCACAAAAACTAGGCGCATCTATAACCTTTTACGTTATTTTATCTTTCTTACGTTGTTTTCTGGACCTTATCAACAAATTATATATAGCTGTTGACTTTCACTACAGCACTTAGGACCACAGATCAAGTTTCGAAGGAACAACAGAGCTAAAGTGTGCACTACAAAACAGAAAATACTCAGTTAATGCTCTTAGCGGTTATTTAGTGTTTATTATGCATCAAAAGATGACTTATATATGGAAACATTTAATACTCATAGGACCCAACACACACACGGCAATTGAAATACGGAATGCCCGCTTCCAGTCAGTGCGTTCAAGGTCGTTGAAACGAAACGGCGGACAGATTTGAAAGGGATTACCGTTTATACCTGGACTGGACTGGCCCATGCGGCAGTGGTCTTACTTTCGATTGTATCTACTTTAACTAATATTTCTGTAATAACGTCCTCTGTGTTGTACAGTCATCAAAGCACCTATGGTACCTTGATACGTCGATGGGGTAGTACACGTAAGGTGCTGACTATGAGGTGTGACTTCGACATTAGCTAGTTTGTCACATCATTCACGTCTAACTCGAGTAGGCCTCCAACCATTTCAACATAGGTCATCTACGTTGGCGATCTACAGAAGCACACACTTATATGTGCACAACTGAAATTTCTTTGTCCTTATTAGCTTTTAGCACATTCGTTACCCTTATCTAATGATGACGCTTCCTAAAGGAAAAAGGCTCCATTTACATTCTTTTATACATGCTTTCATATTTATAGTAGTTCACTCTGAATTAATTCGAAAATGAGAAATATTTGAATTACTTTTCGGACTAGTAATCTCCGCAATAACGCAGTTTAAGTCAGGAAGAACTAAGTGAGCACAAGCTAATGTAGTGTATTTGGAACTAAAAATGAGACACACATTGTGTACAAAAGAATCAATAGTTCGTATAAAAAATCACACGTATGACCACTAATTACTCAGAATAATGATGCGTCTAAGTTGGTATGAAGTTATTGCTATATATCTTTAAGATTTTTCAATATTTGCTCAAGTATACTTTCCTATCAGATCTGTAAATGGTCTTACTAAAATAATGCAAGTAATCGATCTTTATTTTGTATATGGTGATGTAAATAAACGAGGCCAATTGTGCAGTGTCGCCAGACAGTGAAACGAGAGCATAAAATGAAAGTAAAACTAGAATCTTGATTCTACGCTTGAGAAATTAGGATATATTCTGAAGAAAACTTCAGAAATATGTATTTTTGTGAAGATATTCAACGGTGACCACTTGAAGCTTAGTAGAATTACCAATCAAAATGTTAACGGTAATATTAGAAATAGTTCACAAAGACCACTTGTTTTCTTCAAATTTATTTAGCTTCGACTGTCATTAATCTCACTAGTTATATTTGAATGTCTCAGGAAAAAAATTGGTTACGAATTTATCCCACCAAAACGGAAGAGTAAGTTTTGATACCAAAGCTAAATCGTAAACTCGGAATCTCTGGAACAGAGTAAGCAGCAACAGATCAACCCTTAATTTGAGTGGAAAAGTGGTAACGAGAAGAGTAGGAGAGCTAGAAATTATATCCATACCTTTACTCAATGTTCAGTCAAAGGATAAGAGATATTTCGGATGTTTTTGTTTCTTGGATTTTGTTGCTTTCAGAATTTATAAGACGTTGGCATTTACTAGATATCGGTTATCAGGACTAAGGAAATCCAACAGAGCCCTACAAAGTATCGTCATCACGTTTGTGTATCTCTTATGTGCGCTGAATTCGTATCTTCAAACATTGTTTTACTTTGTCCAATTCTCTTCCCTTCGATTCTTCTGTGTATTGCATCATACTACTTATTAATATTCAGTAAGCAGTAATGTTCTTAGCAATTTCTGTGCTTAAGTTGTAGCGCAGGTTTATTGTGTAATATTCTGTAATAATTACATATACGTATAACATTTATTGTATTTATCATTATAATCACTTTCGTTTAATTCTTGTAGCAGTTATTTGCAATTCTGTATGGTCGTTTAATCCTTTTTTAAACGCGACAGTTTACAAATTCTTTGCTCTTATATCCGTTTTTGCTTATTGATAAAGATTAGACAGCTATTAGCTGTCATTTTCACTACCATATGTTGCAATTATTCTTTATGTTATTAATTGCGGGAAGCCTTTTCTATTTCAGACTTACAGACGCTCAAGGCGCTACAGATACCTCACAATTTAAAGTTTGTAGCTCACTTATTTATATTGTTCCATAAAGAACCGTGTTATAGACAAATCACTGTCTTGTGAACTTCAACTTCGCGCGTATCTCGACCGTGTGATTCAGACGCTTCGATAGATTAAACAAACATGCCATTTTCACCTGAAAATACAAATTTACCATGCTTTCTTTTCAGTAGCAAAATACAATTATTATGTGAATTGCTCATTTTAAAAGTTCACCTCAATCTGATAATAACAGACAAAATGAAAAGTAAATTCATAAAGTTTCGTAAATGTAGTTCTCATTATTATACCGAAATTTACTAGTGAACACAAAATGTATGGTTCTGTCAATAAATTAGGATGCAGAACTAATAAGCTCAACATTAAATATCTGTTGTAGCTTTATTATATAGTCTTGATCAAAGTGTAATACATTCTACCGATATATAATAATGATTTTTATTTGTAAGCAAGGATGGATGGTGGGTGACAGTGGAATTTAGGATGCGCATTTCGTCCTATTTGGGGCTCGTCTGCTGGATGTACCTGCATCCCAGATTCGACGTTCACTTCAGGAATCGATCTAGTACCATAATTTTTGCTTATAAGGCTTATGACTTAAGGAAATATCGAGGCAATCCACTCAGGATGCGCATATGACAACAAGAGACTGGCCAATTGCAGTCCTAAATAACAATGGGAAGATACAATCACAGAACATCAAGTGGATTTTCATTTGTTCTTTCATACCAGTAGTAATGGGATTAAAAATATTCATATGATAAATATTTTAACTGAAATGAATATGAAAGCCTTCTATCATTTAGCTTCTGAATAACTTTTTAACCTATAAAGTATTATAGATACTTTGAAATATCGCAAGAACTAGACTTCTAACGCTTGCTAAAGCTATAAGTGTTAAAACATTGAAATCTAAATGATGAATTTATAGGGAGAAGCCGTGACGAGTGAATTTCAACCAGGTTTGTTGTGAGATATCAGCTCACTGAAGACAATGGTGCACGGTGTCGCAATTTCGTGGATAAGTTGAAGTTAGACATTAACACTGTTGGATGCCGGCTCAGTGATCTAATGGCTAGGCGCTCGCGCGCAAGACTGATAGGGTTCGAATCTCGCGGTGGTCGGGATCGTGGGTGCGCACTGATGAGGAGTCCCATACCAAGATGAAACCGCCGTCCAGTCCTTTCAGGTTTTCCGATGTGGTCTAGCTTCAATTGACTCATGATTTCAACTATTGAAATTACTAAAATCTCCACAAAACCCCTTCTGATTGTGGGGAAATATTAACCAGCATTTTCTGACCCTGTTAACGCAAACCATGTTTGATTTAATAATATTTTTTCACCTCTCATTTTCATTCCATGATTACTTCATTTTTCAATTCTTTTCAAGTTAAATATAATTCAGTGAGAATTTTGTTTTCGATGAAATCATTTACTTAAGTTGTATATTCGTATTTATATTTGTATGGCAAACATATGTCTGTAGTAGGATAAAAAGAAATGCATCATAAAGTGATTCGGTACTCTAATTACCAAATGTGGTTGCGTAATAATCAGGAGTTTAGAGAACAATTAGGACCAAGGGAGGATGACAGGTTGGACGTATCGTTTTTGCACACAGGCTTGAATTGGTGGATCACCAATGCCTCAACTGTGAATAAGTTTTTAATTCGACCTCCCTTCGATCCAGTTCATTTGATTGTGGAGATTGTTTTGAATGAAGACTCCTTCAGAGCGACGTGTTCAGAGTTGATTAGGTGTTCCTATATTGAACTGATAATAGTTTTTCATTCTTCTCTTAAAAGCCACACCGGGTACTGTTCTGAGACGAATTTAGAAAATGAACGCTTTTTGTGTCCAAGGTATCCTGCCTCACAGAAACAAGTAAACTTCTAGTTGAACATCGATTTCACCTAAAGCGGAAGTTTATCCTTAGCACATCTGTAAATTGTAGGCCGGATTGAGAAATCAATACAGAGCTTAGCTGAATAGAACATTTTATTTAGGGCTTTTGAAATCCGTTTTTTTACAAGAGTTTGGCATCTACATCCCATTCATATTCTATTTTCATAAAAAGTTTTCTTTTAAAATGTCGACACTTTATCAGAATGTTGTCTTGGTGTTAAGTCCCTATCATTTATATCAGAGATATATGAATGATACTTCCATTATTTGTGAAGAAGATGAATTTTTGAATCAATTCAATGATTGTCATCACTCGATTCAATTTACATTGGAGGAAGAGGTGACCGAAGATTCTTGATGTCCGGTTGAAAAGATGGCCAAATGGTTATACGTATACAATGGGGAGTGTACAAATTTCTATAGCTGTGTCCCATTCAGTAGAAAGAGAAACTTGACTTACTCTTTATCCTCAAGGATTAGGCGAATATGTTCTAATGACATGATAGATAACGAATTGTTTCAGCTTCGACAGATACTCATCAAAAATGGTTATCCACGTATATTTAACTATAGGACTAATATCAGACATTTAATAATCTACTTTCCCGTAAATAAATCTACTACAACATTGTTGAAATAGATATTCATCTAACCAATAAGATATAAAGTAAGTTTTTGATTTTAAGAAAGCAATGGCAGAAGTATCAAAACTCTTGTGATTCCTATTTATGAGCAAAATAAAAATATTGAAACGAACAATAAAAAATACATTCAACTTTGTAGATAAAAAAGGATCAAGTTTATTATAATTTATGAATATACTGGTCTAATTACATTGCTATGAGATGGTATTGTCAGTTTTCCGGATTTCATTGATGTCAGGATGCAGTTTAATACTTTTGCCTGTTGAAAACTAAAAGCTGCTTGAATTTCAGCTGTGTTTGATTTCAATGAAGATCCGCTTTTAGTTTGTTCATTCATTTCAGTAGACGGTATGGTTTTAGATGAACATTCAAACAAGGTGTAACTCCATATTAACGAAAGATTGCCTAAATCCATTTTATTTTGCGCTTTATAATTACTTACCCTAGAAAAAAATAAATGAATTGGTGATTATTATAATAAATAAATATGACTAACTGATAATTTGTGAAATATTATGAGGAGAGACCTATCAGCAAAATGTATGATAAGTATGCTTAGAATCGTATTGTTTTGTAGTCACTGTTGGAATGTCGACATATTTTGTTCAGTGTTTGGGCTTATCATTAATATTTAGTATAACTAGAGTGGTAAGTAATAGAATAAATAATACATTGTGACACAAAGCATCAGTATTCATAAACCTAATTAAAGCCATAACCACTAAATTCTTTATATGATAAACAACTTCATGTAAAATTAAATCAAGTTCGTAATAAATCCTCCCATTTTATTGAGGATGTTTATAACATTTTAAATGTGAAGGGTAACGCAGTTTAAATACTTTGAGTAAAAAATGTCAAATATCAAGACTCTAGTATTTTTAAAAGTACAAAGTCACCTTAGAACTTTTGACTAGCTTTAAACAACCGTTACCATTTATTGTCAATATTTGGGGATCTCTCGATGAACTACAAACAAGAATGCCATCATCTCTATTAAAGACCCCAGCGAACAAAATGAAATAGTCGCTGTTTCGTATATTGTATGTCTTTGTTAGAAATATATGGCACTTACGTGACTAAATGATTGGCTAAGTAATTGAATGTTTCCAGGTTTGGGGTGGGAAGATCGACAAGGATGTCTTCAATGAGTTGACAACGAACGGATTCATCAGGAATTTCTAATTGTAAATGTAAATGAGAACAAAAATGAACCAATGAACGTCTTATAAAATTCTAGATAAAAAAGTTAGTGTAGAGTTAACTGAAATCCAATTCATGTCGTGTGTGATACAGATATCCGCCTCAGTCAACAGATGAAGGATTGGGCAAGATCGTAGATTAATTAAAGGTAGACATTAACACCGTCGATTGCCAGCTCAGTGGTTTAGAGGTTAAACGTTGACGCGCGAGAACAAAATGTCTTAGTTTTGAGATTCTCATGCAGGATTGTGGATGCGAACTTTTGAATTGTTCCATATTAGAACGAAGTGGCAGTCCAATGCTTCCAGATTTTTAATGGTGGTCTAGCTTAGGTCGACTCATGATTTCAACTGTGAAAACACTACAAACTGCATAAACCACCACACTGTTAACTAGGATAATCACAACTAACCACAACAGCTTGTTTATCATTATATTATGACTGTTATTTAGACCTTAGGAGTCGTTGGTGTTTATCAAATTTCAAATAAAATTTCTGCCTAATCCACATTTTAATGTGTTAGGTCAATCCATATTGATAAATATACTTCTCGTATTCATAATTTACAACATTAAAATTGTGGTATATGAACGGTTACTGGCAATCAATTATAAAAAATGAAATTCGATGTTTTCGCTGTTTTATAAAATATTACATTCAAGAATCTATTTCTTGTAGCCTCATACTTTACAAACTAATTTATCAACTAGTTGAATTTAGTATACATCAGAAGAGGAAGTATAAGTTCCATAAGTGGGTACTACTGATTCTTCAGCAAAATAATTCCAATATCCTAATAACTGGGCATTTAAACTTCGGTCTTTGATGTAACGAGAAGTCAGGATAGGATTTTAAAGGAATCACTAATATTTAGTGCGTTGTCAATTCATATGATGGGCAAGGATTCACAAATATCACCAAAGAAGTTCGCAGGTCAAGTAAAAAAGCTTGAAAAAGATCAGAAATTCCAAATATATTGATCAGTCTGACAAATGAACAAGAATATGTAGTAGTGACCTCTAGTAAAGAGAATTACATCCCAATCGTAGATGATCTGTTCGAATACAATAATATTATCTCGCCAATTGTACAATATAAAAATCATGGTATCATTGGGCGCTCTGACTCCATTTCTTGCAACCTATTAAAGCAGTGTAGTTTTTCAGCACGAGTCCATAAAATCATACATCATTGTGGATAGGATGGTTGGGGACAAACTATACGAGGCCTTAAGCCTTTTCAGGTGATACGATTCAGTAAGAATAGCTCAGATTTATTCCGAATATATTTTCTAAATGCCAAGAGTAGAATTCAATAGAAAGTTCTTGCGAAAACAAACCTTCGAATGGAGACTTTATCTAGATGCTTTAAACAATTGACTATGAAATAAAAATGTGCAGACATCGGGAAGTATTTGAAAATTGTCAGAATTTTGCTTCAATTTGAGTAAAGTGGCTAAAATAAATTATCCATAGTAGATTCATTATTTTGTCGCCCAAAGATATATATTTACTTAATAGTATAAACTCACCAACTGCTTGAAGTAAAGCTATAGTAGCTGTGTAATCAACCAGACTCTCTGGTAAATGTTGAAAGAACTGTTTTAATAAGCTAGTAATCACCGGTAATTCAACAAGCGGTAATCTTTGAATAGCTAAAGTACAACCTGAAATATAAATAAAATACAATTGACAACTAAAACATATTGGTCACATACCTTTCACATAATCGATTTTTTTAAACTCATTCCTGACACTATTTGCAAGTGTCTGATTTACGAAAAAAATATTAAAATCAAAAGTCATTGTAATTTTCACTACATCCAATCTCAAGAAATTTCATATGGCACTTATTGATTATTGCTTTGTGAAACACACCAACAAAAAGTGTGAACCTAATCATTATCTAAAGTACCTAAGTAACCAGAAAGTTTCCATTTCTACATTCTACATAGAAGCTAACTATATTACCTAGAACAATAATGAAAACTTTTTAATGAAACTATCCAGCTCAAGGGATACACACTCTTAAAAGTAAACACTTCAACTATAAATCTTTTTATTATTTCTTTTCTTTTATTTGTATTTTCTTTCAGAAATCTTACTAAAATAGATCTGAATTATGTGGAGGATATTTTTGTGCAGTACCATTTCGTGTACACTTCCTTGATTAAACAGAATTCAAAACTATATTGCTTTATATACATTAATCATCTATAAATATGAGACAAGATTGATGGTAATTATTTGTAAATATAAAATTTCAAACAAATTTCAATAGTGTGATAAGAAGACGATGATTAACAGAACTATGTGATATATTAGGGTAATACATTTCATACATAATATACTTGTTAAGAACATTTATCTATAAAAATAAAAGGTCAACTAGACCAGAAATGGAAGGTAAGAGGTTTATTTATTTATTCATTTATTTGAACACGTAAATATTGGTACAAAGAGGCATATGCGCTACACAATTCGCTTGATTTGTGTGAAGGCTGTGATACTGCCCGGGTGTCCAGATCGAAGCAGGTGGTTTTCTTAGAGGGCCACACCCGGAGCCTTCAGCCTAAAGGTCTGATCCCCAAGGCAGTGGAGTAACGTCAGGCAATGCAGTCCCATGGTAGCCAGTGGTTCATACGCCATTTGCTCCCTCAGGATCCTGAGGCCCATGTGCACCATTGGTTTGGAATCAAGGTTTTCCAACTTCCCTAGATGGGTCCCCTGTTTCCACCAATCCGGTTGGGGCACCGGATATTCACTCTTCGTCCTCTCAATTTCGTAAACAACGCCCCCGCAACGGGAGGGATGTGAGTAGGACTCCCCTGACAGTGACTGTATACGCGTGGCTATGTGAGAGTGTTTCGAGAGGGAGAGCTGACTCTCTCCACCCTCGGCTGTGTCAGGGAATTTGAAGGGTAAGAGGAAAAAAGGATAATAAAGAAAATAATGTGAAAACAATTTGAAACCTCATCACTCTAGATAATAAGCTAATATTACCAGGGCAAGTTTAAGGTCAGAACAAGCTGTTTTTGAATACATAAAGGGGGTTTGAATTTTTGTATGGCTGAGGCTTTATTAAACTTTAGCATACGCCCTTTTACAATTTAATGTTGCCATGCTCAATTAAAATTGTTCTAAATAGAAATATCCAGGACATTTTCTTTATCTCTTTGATATAACATTTAAGGTATAAAAACTATGGAAATGTATGATACATTTTAGAACATACAGAAACTGAAGGTAGAATTGACTAACATCTTTTGTAGAGTTAAAATGTAATATCGACAAAAAAGCACATCGAATTGGATATCACTGCCTTTCTTTAAACAGATGGCTTAATAACCAGTTTGAGGACTTTAAAATGAACACATAAAATAAACGTTTATGTCAACAAATTAGCTTTGCCAAATGTCGGTTCGAATCATTATCATTATGTTTTCTTGAGGTTTGATTTCCAGTTATTAAGTAAAAAACGATCTCTTTAATGATCACTTAATAGTACTCTAATGAAATGATTCATGAAAAAGAAACTAAATAAAAAATATGAATATAAATGAGAGACAGTCTATGGAACTGTCATTAAAATTGCATATTCATTATTAAACAGTGATTTTAAAAAATAAAAATATATAGAGTATTTCTTACTTTCATCAAATTCACTTTTTAAAGCTTTGATATTATCATTGGAACCACATAATCGATAGAGTCCAACTACTAATAAACCTCGCCTTTCAATCTCTTCGACACATGCGATTACAAAACGGGGTATAAAAGCTTCAGATTTATGCTTTTTTGTACACTCATTCTTATCGATGTCGTTTGGAACCCTAAAGGAATAAGATGAAATAGCATTAAAAAATAAATTGGATCTTTGTGACTTGGAAAATTGTGAAAATTTAGTCATTGTGTATTGCTTTTATAATAGCTACAAAATTAATCTACTAACTGACTTCTTGGTAGCACTTAATGTTATATTGGTTTAGGCCTAAGTGTTGATCGAGTCCCGTAGACCAGGTTGTATTGTGGCTTATAATGTAAGTGATTCGATATGACGTGCAGGATTTTCTGACTTTAGATAGTTGATGGCAGTAAGTCTGCCTGTAGCTCATCTAGGATTACCAACAGTCCAAGAACAAGTAAAGGAGGAGGGTTGGACATTGGGTCAGCAACCCCATCCCGTAGAAGACAACCTTGCTACAAAATAAACAAATTAGACTATTTAAACTCTATCTTCCGAGTTGAAGGAAGAATTATGACACATGATGAAAATCGAGAGTCTGTGGAAGTAACGAGGCTGATGTCCCTTCTAACAACCAAAGCAACAACTTATATAGGTACATGGAATGTTCGGACAGTGTGAGAGACTGGAAGGACCAATCAAATAGCTATTAGAAATTAGAAGACACAACTTGACTGTTCTCAGAATTAGTCAAACTCATTAGACCAAAGCTGAACAGAAAAAGATAGATTGTAGAGAGATGCTGCTATACTGTGGTCATGAAGACGAAAATGCTCCACACACTCAGGAAGTTTCTTTGATGCTGCACTAAGAAGCACATAGAGCAGAGCGCTTATAAGGTGGGAATCTCATGGATCGATGATCATCAAAGCATCCTTCGAAAGAAAGAGGAGGGAAATCACAATGAATGTTATCGAATGTTATGCACCAACCGATGATAGCTAGGACGACAATGAAGATCAGTTTTATGAGAGACTGCAATTGATCATAGCGAAGTGCCCAGGAATGGACTTGACAATCCTGATTGGAGATCCAAACATCAAAGTCTGAATAGACAACGATGGGTCTGAAAATATCATGGGACGATATGGACAGGGGAATGGAAGGAAGGTACAAGAATGGTGACAGATTTTGAAATTATTGTGCATTCAACAAAGTGGTTGTATGCGGCACAATATTCCCGCTAACACAAATGCATATACAAAGGCAAATGGGTCGAAACCCTAGAAGAGATTCAAGAAGGGAAAAATAAAAAGACAGCAAGTAACAACAGTTGAACAAAAGTAGAGAAGGTCAAGGTACAAGCTGAATACACTGAGGCAAACAAGTAAGTGAAGAGGGGTATTAGAGCCGATGGGCAGAAATACGTGGAAGAGCTAGCAACAACAGTGGAAAAGCTGCAACAGAAGGAAATATGTAGCAACTATATGACACGATGAATAAACTGGCAAGGAATTATAGTAAACCAAAGGGATCAATCAGGGTTAAAGAAGGCAAACCAATCACTGAGATTGGAGATCAGAGAGACAGATGGGTGGAACATTTTGAGGGACTCTTGCGTAGTTCAGCTCCACTGAACCCACCGGACATCGAAGCAGCACCTAAAAACCTTCCTGTAGATATCACCAAGATACAAAATAAAATAGATCTGAGGAAAGTTGGAGGAGGTAGAAACTTTCACGTACCTAACTGGACAGCATCATCGATGAACAGAGAGGACGTAAACTGAAGGATTGGCAAAACGCGGGCGGCATCCCTACAGTTGAAGAACATATGGAACTCAAAACAACGCTCTGCCAACTAATATCAAAATCGGAATCTTTAATACGAACATCAAGCTACCTCTCCGTACGTTGTTGTAACCTGAGTCATTCAGTGTCACAATTAATGGCATCACCATTGCGTTATTCAAGGAGTGAATGCATATTCTCAAACTCTTCTCAGTAGAAGCATAAATCATACGAAAACTTACTAGAATTTTAGAAGCCCAATATAATCGTTTTATTCTAGCTAAACACTTGAAAGTTGACCTCATTATTCGAGTATTGCTGGACGATAGTTGATTGTTTTCCGACTAATTATGTTCAAAAGATGTAAATAATAAAGGAATGCTAGTTGATGAAGTCAAAGCAAGTTTACCAGAGTGCTCGAACTGAATCAAAGTATTTGACAAATAAAAAATTTAAAGGTACATGCTCTTAAGCTGATCGATTTACCTTATAAGCTCTGCTAAATGACGTCCGAATAGATTCCCACGTATTTCAGACCGTCTATTTTTATTAAGATTTACTTGATCAACATATTCCAAAGATACGGAGAAGGTTAGCTGTGATATTAAAAACATAATACTGTTTGAGATTCTTGTGAAAGATTTTAAAACACTTAACGGATGTAAACTGATTATTTCTCTGAAAGTCAATAGCAAATTAACTATTTTAACAAGAATAAAAAGAATCATATCTTCTAACTGTCCAGATATTCATTTTCAAGTGATCTTTTACAGCCAGATTATTAAATCAGCGACAATCTAATTTCACAAAATGAAATGCATCTAGAGAGTTTATGACTTCAGTCAGTGTAAGAGATTTGATGGTTTGTTAGTAGTTAGGTTTGGGAGATCAACTGATAGACGAAAGACAGCAAACCTGAATTCTGGTGTTATCTATATATTTCAAACTCAATCGTAATTTGTTATAATAAGTTGATATTTGTCAATTGTTTGTGGAATTAAAAAAATGTTCTGAAGTAATGGAATGTGATTGCTTACTGATGGGTAACTGATAAATGATATCAGTATAAATCTTCACAATCAAAACTGAATAAAACATCCAACTCAGAGAAATGCAAAGGTTTTTTTCGGTGGCAGTGATTAACATATGTTGTAAAATTACATTTCCAGACAACCATCGGCTTTAAATTTCAATTAAAATAATATAATTAATTATGGTTGTGAAATTGCATTATTTTGTAATGAATACTTGAGCGAGAAAGTTCATTTTTAAATGTAACGTATCGTTATTGTGGCCTGTGCTACTGATGTCAACACTTATAAGTAGTATGTATCATCAGTCGAAAGTGAAATGCCTGTCAACAAAAGGTTAAGAAGATCGAAGAAAAGAGAACAGGAACACAGAATGATTGGTGTGGAAACGAAGGAACAATCAAGTCTGAAACAATTGATTGACATTTTGCAAATAAAGTCATTATTGTATGGTTCTCAAATTTTACTATGGTATTCTGTTATTTTGTATTCAAATACATTCTAATGTTTCCACTTGTGTGTTCTCGTTCACTACAGCTATAAGTTCAACTATTTCTTTTAGATATAAATAATTATATTTGATTATATGGATTTTTAGAATATCAACTTATATTCTTCTTTTCAAAACAGTAAATTATAAACAAAGATGGATAGTGGCTAACATTGAAATCTAGAATGCGCGTTTTGTTCTGGATTCCACAACTAACCACTATCCATCTTTGCCTATAATGCTTGTGAATTAAGACAATATAGAGGCAATATGCACAGTATGCACATATACCAATAAGAGGCTGATCAACTGCAGTCCTAAACATTAATGAGAAGATTTAAGTAAACAATACCAAGTGAAGTAAATTATAAACTTATCATAAATGGAATAGACTTACACTACGTGGAGGATTTTCATTCGTTAATATCTTCATATCTATTCGTGAATTGGTTTTAAGTAATTCTAGATCTAACTAAAATATTGAAGAGAAATTAATGTAATTGGTTATATACATTACTTTTGTTATGTCAGTTCTAATTAGTTGAAAGGGGAAAAAATTAAAAAAACCAATTCTACCCCATAACTAATTCCTTCCGTTTAATAACAAACGTATTATGATTTTTTTATTTAGAATGTTATCCCAATTGAAAGAATTAGTTTAGTATATTCCCATTTAAAAGAGTTAGAAAAGTTTTTTAAAAATGTATGATATGTGGTTTATTTTACATTTGAGTAGTATGAGACCATGAATTATTGCATTATTCATCAAACAGTTTACTTGATATTGTAGAGGAGGTTCTATAAGCCACACAAAGTATAGTCATTTTAAATATATTTCTTAGCATTAAAATTAATGAATAGATTCATTATTGAACATTTGATCAACTCTTTTCAATTACTTCTAACATAATCATCATTTAAAACTATTTAACATTTCTAATGTAGTGCAAGGGAAGACCGATGAACACATTACATCGGGAAATGAAAGCAGTTATGAATAGCAACTGGAAAGAATTGGAAAAGATTGCTTAGGACAGGGTTGAATGGAGAGTGCTAGTGATCCTCCACGAAGAGTATCAGGCGTAAATAATAAATTAAAATAATGAACTGCCTCTAAAGTAACATGAATTAAAAAGGTATGCACAATATAACATCTGTTCGTACTTCTATTTTAGCTTGTTCTCTAAATTTCAACCAACATTTTCAAAGAAATCACTATTTGTTCGTTTCTTGATTATCTTTTTTATATCCATTATTTGGACAGTTATTTCTCACACCTCTCATTTACTAATTATTTCTACAATTTTCTGGTAATTAGAAGCACCTTCGATCAATTTGTGAATTATATGTTATTGTTCATTTTATTAAGTACCTGATTGTGGTAATTAGCCATAAATGTTCCTTTATTAAATTTTTGATCGATTGCAACATTGAAACACAAAGTTCTCTTCCCAGAAATGTCTTAATTTCTTTTGCAATGTTCCAATGTGTTTGTTTGATTAATTCTACGTTTCATCACCCCTATCTAACACTTATTACATGCTTTAGATTTCCATCGCATTTGATGATGATACAGACCATCATCTGGTAAATAATAATAAATCCAACTAAATACCTTTAGTAAAGAACATAGTTGAGAAGCAAATTATGTTCAGTATTCTTTTAGGAACTCATTTTCAAATAAATTTATAAATTTTCAAAGAAAATAAGCCATTTCTCTTTGTAATCTAATGGAAAAATTTAAGTTTTTATTTCAGTAGTTGAGATCATGAGTCATTTGAAGTTAAAACACCATGGAAAACCTGGAATCACTAGACGGCCATTTCGTCCTAGTATGGGACTCCTCAGCAGTGCGTATCCACAACCCCACCTTGCAGGATTCTAACCCAGGACCTATCAGTCTCGCGCGCGGGCACCTAACCACTTGACCACTGAGCCGCCAGCTGTGTTAATGTCTAATCTCAACTGATAGGTCCTGGGTTCGAATCCGGCGAGTCGGGATCGTGGAAGTGCACTGCCAAGCAGTCCTACAATAGGACTAAACGGCCTTTCAGTGCTTCAAGGTTTTCTATGGTGGTCTAATTTCAATGTACTTATGATCTCAGCTATTGAAATTACTACAATCTCTACAAAACCCCTTTTGATATTAATTCTTTATGTAGACATTTTTTAACAGTAAAAGTAAAATTAATTAATTAATTAATTAGAAAATACTTACAGGAACGTCTAATTCTGCAAACATTTCTTGATGAATGTATAATGTAAAACATATCGTCCATGCACCATCCACCTCTAAATCAAATGACTATAAATGAATAGAAAATTATTTTAAAAAGAACATTTATATTTCCTTACAATAATCTACAAATGAATACTCTTTTAATCTTCAGTATCTTAATGAAATCTATAAAATAAAATTAATCAGTCAAAAGTTCTACTAACAATTAAATTAAGATATAGTTTTTATTACTTCAAACAATAAACGTAATAGGATTACTTTTTCTGTATGAGATATAAATGGATGAATAGTGAAGTTAATAAAACGTTAGAGAATTTCAGATTAGTGGGTAAACATGTTTGAGACTAAAACAAGATGAATCTAAGTTATATTATTAACTTAAATGACTTCCTTTACTCATTGTAAGCTAAAATATCATATAAGTTGAGATAAGTTTATCATCTTAGGGATTTTAATAGTTTAAGGATAGTTTTAATGAAAGTTTTCATATTATGTTGAGTATTAGTGAAATTTTGAATACTACAAAATCAACTGTTGTATGTTGTATGGGGACAGTTTAAGTAGAGATTGGTTCATATGGTCATTGCTTCATATAGTCTAAACTCCTATACTTAGAATTTTGATAGTTAGCTAAAATTGGTAATTATTTATGTGATTTAGTTTTATTCTTCTTGTATTATTAAGCAACAAGATAAGTATGAAAGATACCGTAATATTGTTTTAAAACTTACTAATCATTTTACGAGTTTTAACTGAATAAACTCCCTTAGCAATGAAAATTATAAAGGGTGTTTTCAGTCAGTCAGTCAGCTACAACGTAGGACCAGGCACATATGTGCATCGGCCCAGGTTGCCATACCTCATTAGCACAACAAGATGAACACCGGATTCATAGGAGTGGTTAGGTCAAAGGTTGCAATGAGGATATAGTATAGGAAGGAAGAATTAGTTCGTAGAAACAAAGATATGAAGTGATTTTAATCTCTTAGTTTAAGGGAAGACAGGGAGTGTATACACCGACGCCATTGTGATCGATTCTGAGCCATGTCACCAAGAGTCTCCAACCATTGGTTACGAAAGTCACGAGGACCCCAACCAAGTAGTCTGCATCTACCAACATGGCTAAGACTAGAAGTTAGTGACTTCAAGCACTGATGCCACGTTTTGGTTTGGCCGCCCCTAACTTTCTTCCAACCATCCCCTACACCGGTTAGCATTGCACGTCGTGGTAATCGGTGTTCAGGCATACGTAATACGTGGCCCAACCATCTCAGTCGATGAAGATTCATAACCTCATCAACTGATTTACCATCATTCCCTAATACCCTACGTCTAACCTCACTATTACTTACCCGGTGATCCCAGCAGATGCCAGCAATATTTCTAAGGCATCTGTGGTCAAATACTTGTAGCTTACGGGTGTCTTCTACTCTTAAAGGCCATGTTTCGCTGCCGTAAAGTAAGACAGAACGGACTGCCGCGCAGTATACTCGTCCTTTTATTGATAGACGGATATCTCGCCTCCGCCAAAGGTGACGTAAGTTGGCAAAAGCCAAACGAGCTTTTCGAATCCGTGCTGAGATTTCGTCAGACACCAACCCATTAGGGCTGATCAGACTTCCAAGATAAGTGAAGTTGTCGACGCGTTCGACTACTTCACTCCCTATCCTTAGTTCAGGTGTTGACGCAGACCAGTCCTGAAGCAACAACTTGCATTTAGAGGGAGAGAAGCGCATCCCAAACATTCTGGCATTGTTGCTTAGTGCTACCAGAAGACTCTGCATTTTGTCAGCGTCTTCACCAAACAGGACTATATCATCTGCGTATTCTAAGTCGATAAGTGGACCTCCTGGAAGGAGATCAATACCCGAGAATTCAGTCAACGAGAGTGTTATTTCCATCAATAGGTCTATGATGAAGTTAAACAAAAATGGAGAAAGTGGACAGCCTTGACGGACACCACTTGAAGTTGCAAAAGTAGATGACAGTTCGCCATAAGCTCTGACTCGACTAGTAGTGTTCGAGTAAAGAGCCTTCACAAGGTTTATGTACTTCTGGGGTACGCCTTTCAATGACAGACACTACCACAGAGTCTCGCGGTCTACAGAGTCAAACGCTGCTTTTAAGTCAAGAAAGACCACCATCGTCGGACGCCGATAGGTATGCCTGTGTTCTAGAACCTGACGAATGGTGAATATGTGGTCGATGCAGCCACGACCAGGTCTAAAGCCAGCTTGGTTCTCTCGAGTTTGTAGTTCACGAGTCTTAGTTAGACGTCTGATAATTATCGAGGCCAGTATTTTAGATACTATGTTTGTTAAACTAATCCCTCTGTGGTTGTCACAGGATGATTTTGAGCCTTTCTTATATATTGGGACGATAAGTGATTGCGACCAGTCAGATGGGATAAAGTCTAACTCCCAGATCTTAGCTAAAATATTAGTCAACCTAATCGCTAAAATTGGACCACCATCCTTAAAGACCTCTGGAGCCAGTCCATCTGGACCAGCTGCCCTTCCTCGTTTCAGATTGACTATAGCCTTTTGAACTTCAGCAAGAGTTGGGGGACCTACTTCAATGTTCCATTCACACTGTCTGGGAATGGAGGGTAGTTGTAGAGTAGCTGAAGGCCAGCTGAACTTTTCTCTGAAATGTTCCACCCATCGTTCTAAACGCCTGCACTGGGAGCAGATGAGAGTATCATCTTTTTCCGAAATAATCTCACTTACACTTGACTTATTAATTCCAGTTTCTTTTATTAGTCTGTAAAGCTGTCTTGTGTTCCCTATAGTCGCCGCCTTTTCCATCTCTTTTGCTTTCGTTACCCACCACTGCTCACGGTCGTTCCTTAGACTTTTTCTTAACCTAGATCTGATTTGTTTTCGCTCTTCATCATTTTAGAGAACAGTTCAGCTGGCCTTCAGCTACTCTACAACTACCCTCCAGGTCTACTGAAACATCGCTCCAAACTACACATTGGAGCTTTCAACGTACGCACTCTATGTCAAATCGGTCAGCAGGCTTCCTTGGCTAAAACCCTAGAGTCTCTTTCCATTGATGTATGCTGTGTCTCTGAAACACGCATACAGGATCCCAGTGTGGTCATTCACTTGACCTCACCTCGGCAAAACGGAGAGCCAACGAGATAAACCCTTCGTGTATCTGGTGACCCGATGGCCAGTTCTCGTGGACTGGCAGGTGTAGGCATAGCACTGAGCATGAGTGCCGAACAAGCACTGCTAAAGTGGATCCCCGTCAACAGTCGTCTATGTGCTGTTCGGCTGAACGGCTACGTAAGAACTCGGAAGGATAGGGACACACGTCGTTGCCTTTTGAGCACTAGAATCGTTGGCTATGGTGACACTTGAGGAGGAAGCCGAAGGAGGAAGTTTAGGGTTGAAAGTCGATGTAGGAGGAATAATAGGAATTGAAGAGGAAGGTTGATTATGAATACAGTGGTCTTGGGTGCTGTTAGAGGTATGAGGGCGGTTATCACTTCCCGGTTGCCGACACCGTGGAAGGGTTCTTCTGGAGGTACCTGAAAAGGAAATTGGATTAGAGGTGGTCTCAGTGACGTGAGAGCGTGACCGCAGTGCCCAAGGGACAACTGCTTGAGGCCGGTCGCGCACGGCCTTTTCGTGGAAGGTTTTCGACGTGTTAGCTCCGTTCTTCAAAGGGCCTTACCGCCGGAGACGGAAATCCGTGAGGTAAGGTGAGGTGTGCATTTTTAGGGTCGACCTTTTCTAACCCCACCCCTCCTTGTGGGAAGGCAGCATCGCTGTCATGCTGGTTGTCTGAAGGAAACACCTTACTGCTGTCACACCTCTGTACAGTCAGCAGTACGACTTCGCCTTCGGACCTTGGGTTTGTTGCTTTTAGTCTTACCGCTCTTCAACCGACCTGTCTGACATGGTAGGACCTTGAGGAACGGTTGTTCCAGCCAGTATAGCTCGGTTGCTTCATCACGATAGGCAAGCCCGACCACCACGTCAAGGTAGCAACAACGGTCGGGAAAGGGTGTTTTAGTCACCATTCAATAATCTTATATACATAATTTAGTTATATTGAACTTGAGTCACAACTTAAACATCTTACTAGCTACACTACTAATTCATGAATGGAACTTGGATGCTTTAAAAAATTTAAGGGCATGATATCCTTTTTCCTAGTAATCTGGATAACATTTACTGTTAAACAAGACTGAAATATCCATCTTCCGTTTCTGATATCAAATAGTCTTCAGTGAATAAAAGTAACGACTCAATGTCATTCTTTTGTAGGTTGTTACCTTTACAAACGTTTCAAATATATTACTGATTTCATAATACAAATAGTAATCTTCTTTACTATTTGTCATATTTGAAAATGAACAGAAACATTTTGATAAATAGTGGATTAGTTTAAATTGTTTCTGTCTAAACTTATTAGTAAACTTGTGTATTACTTTCCATTTTTTATTGTTAATCATCTTTTCATGCTTAGCAATAAATAAATTAAAGATTTAAATTGTTATTACCTGTTCCCATTGTGGATTACATTGTTGTAAAACACGTGTACAGGCTACTTCTTCATATTGACCATATGAATCAACTTCAATACGAACATGATAACCTGAAGTATAAAACAAAATAAATCTCATATAAAAATCAACTGAATTAAATATATTATTTTTGAAGATAATGAAATAAAATTTAATATTAGAAAATCTTTCTTTGAAGCGGTCAAGTTTCGTATTACAGGAAGGGAAAAATAAAGGATAAAATATTGGAATAAAAATAATCAAATGGCATCACAAGAGTATTTATGAGAATACATGAATAAGTGTTTTAGGAGCTATCTCTAATCTAATTTAGAATAGAACGTAAATGCTATAAACAATTGATTGATCACTGGGTGATGATCAATGTCATGTATATCAAGTCCTTATTTAGTGCAGATCGAATGCTATCGATCACGTTGCAATGTGGCCACCAGTCTTGACACACATGACATTGATCGCCACCCAGTGATCAATCAATTGTGATTACGTCTCAGTCCTGCAGGAGGCCAGTCGCGGCCCGGATAGCTCAGTGGTAACGTTTCTGACTGTGAAGCTGGGTGACATGAGATCGAATCCGCCAGGGAGCACCAGTTCCCTCAAGATTACAGGTACACCTTGCTGACGAGTGCCAATTAGCATGAAACCCGAGTCCAGGGTTTCCTGTTGACTACCTCTAACCACCATCTAATCTCAGTAAATGCTATAAAGCACTAATCGGGTGGTCTGCTTGAATATCTGGGCTACCTGTTCCTGTCATCTCGATATTTCAACAAGTTATTTGTTTCCTTGTTTGTTTTAATACGTCATTATGCCAATTAGCTGCATAACCTATTCAGTTACAAAAATTGCAATCGGAGACATCGTGATGGCTGGCAAGGTGGATTGAAAAGAATAAATATTATTCAGATGTCGTCTTCTGAAATGTTAATATCTAACTGGTGATTGCTCAATATTTACGATCAATATCGATCAAGAAATAACAAAAAGGAAACTCGCTAAAATACTTTGTGCTCAGAATTCTATATTGTACCAAATTTATAATATTGAATAAAGCTAATAATAATAATATTTCTGGAATAAACGTTTAGACCTCAACGTGACTGATTTTCCTCTGTTCGATGCCTTCCTTATTTAAGACTGAATTATTTCATTCCATAAAAAACTACATACTGTATATATTGTATAACAGAAACTTACCTTGTGTATTTTTATTAAATGAATGTTACTAACTTTACAATTTCGTTTCTTGTATACAACCTTCACCTTAAGTATTTTAAAGTTTAAATATCGATTCCGTTCTTAGATTTGTTTGTATTAGTAAAGTTCCATACATTTTATCAGTTTAATTTAGTCAGAAAATGTACAAAACTTCATCTAAGCTGATATAAGTTACTTACCTACTTCAATTGAACTTTCGTAATTTGAATATGGAGGAAATATCAATACAATCTATATGAAAATTTTACGTTTCATAATATTAACCAACTGAGTTTTTGAAATTTTTCAGTCCCTTGCCTTGACTAATACTTAATGTGGCTAATTAGTTAGCTCACAGTTTCTGATGGAAAGGTAATCTTTTAGTGTTTGTGATCTTAAAAGTTAACTGTCTAATTGCTAGTGTAAACTATTATACTATACTATTATGGATACACATCTGAATATTCGTGCTCAGTTGGATTAGGTCAATGTTAACAAACATTATGTACGGTATTTTAATACCGTTCTTCTGTTGCCTGTAGTTGAATACAAACGCCTGAATGTTCTTGAAATTATTTACTTGCTAAAGTAAGCATTAAACTGACATGCACTGTTTATGTTTTTGTAAAGTATATATACAATCGAATATTTAAATCATCTAATACAGTGTTTAAACTCCGCCTGTAGCTCTTATAGGGTTGCTGCCGGTCCCAAGCCCGGGTAAAGGAGGAGGGTTGGGCATGGGGTTAGCGTCCCCATCCCGTAGAAAACTAACTCGCTAAAAAAACGCTTACCAGAAAAAATAATCCAAACCATTTTAACTCTGCCCTGGGAGTTAGAAGGTCTTCATTTAGAAGAATTATGACGCTTCATGGTGAAAGCCGAGTTCCTTCGGAAGCCACGAGGCCGATGCCCCTTCTAACAACCAGAGCAAAAATTTTTATAGGTACATGGAACGTTCGAACAATGTGGGAAACCGGGAAGACCAGTCAAATATCAATGGAAATGAGGAGATACAACTTGGCAGTACTGGGAATCAGCGAAACCCACTGGACCCAAGCTGGACAGAAAAGGCTAGCTACGGAAGAGATGCTGCTCTACTCCGGCCACGAAGAGGACAATGCTCCACACACTCAGGGAGTCGCTCTTATGCTGTCCAAAGTAGCACGAAATGCACTTGTAGGATGGGAATCTCACGGATCCAGAATCATCAAAGCATCATTCAAAACAAAGAAGGAGGAGATCTTAATGAATATTATCCAATGTTATGCACCCACTAATGATAGCAACGACGACATTAAAGATCAATTCTACGAGCGGCTGCAGTCAGTGATAGAGAAATGCCCAAGAAAGGACCTCACCATTCTAATGGGAGATCTAAATGCCAAAGTCGGAATAGACAACACTGGATATGAAGATATTATGGGACGACATGGACTGGGAGAAAGAAACGAAAATGGAGAAAGATTTGCAAATCTATGTGCATTCAACAAATTGGTCATAGGAGGCACAATATTTCCACACAAGCGTATACACAAGGCTACATGGATCTCACCGGACCACACTACAGAGAACCAAATAGATCATATTTGCATCAACAAAAAATCCCGAAGGACAATTGAAGATGTGAGAACCAGGAGAGGAGCTGACGTAGCTTCAGATCACCACCTAGTTGTAGCCAATTTGAAACTGAAGCTAAAAAAGAACTGGACAACTGGACAAACAGCAATACAAAGGTTCAATACAGCCTTCCTTCGAGATACTGACAAACTCAATGAATTCAAGATAGCTCTCAACAACAGGTCCCAAGCCTTACAAGATCTACTGAAAGAAGAAGAAACTACTATGGAGGACAACTGGAAAGGCATCAAGGAAGCATTAACTTCAACGTGTCAAGAGGTTCTCGGTCTAAAGAAATATCATCATAAGGAATGGATCTCTACAGAAACACTGGACAAGATCAAAGAAAGGAAGAACAAGAAGGCGGCAATAAACAACAGCCGAACACGAGCAGAGAAAGTCCAAGCACAAGCTGAATACATAGAAGCAAACGAGCAAGTGAAGAGGAGCATTAGAGGCGACAAGAAGAAATACGTGGAAGAACTAGCAACGACGGAGTAAAAAGCTGCAACAGAAGGAAATATGAAACAGCTTTACGATACAACGAAGAAACTAGCAGAGAAATACAGTAAACCAGAGAGGCCGGTCAAAGACAAAGAAGGCAAGCCAATCACTGAAATTCAACAACAGCGGAACAGATGGGTAGAATACTTCGAGGAACTCCTGAATAGACCGGCTCCAATGAATCCACCGGACATCGAAGCAGCACACATAGATCTTCCTATAGATGTCAATCCACCAACTACGGAAGAAATTAGAATGGCCGTCAGACAAATCAAGAGCGAGAAAGCAGCAGGACCCGACAACATACCAGCTGAAGCACTGAAATCAGACATCGAAGCAACCACAAGCATGCTTTATCTTCTATTCAAAAAGATTTGGAAGGAGGAACAAGTGCCGATGGACTGGAAAGAAGGACACCTCATCAAGATTCCAAAGAAAGGAGATCTGAGCAAATGTGAAAACTACAGAGGCATAACACTACTGTCAATACAAGGGAAAGTCTTCAACAGATTGTTGCTGAACCGGATGAAGGATGCAGTAGACGCCCAACTTCGAGATCAACAAGCTGGATTCCGTAAGGATCGGTCGTGCACAGACCAAATTGCAACACTACGGATCATCGTCGAACAATCAGTTGAGTGGAAGTCATCACTATACATCAACTTCATTGATTATGAAAAGGCATTCGACAGTGTAGATAGGAAGACATTATGGAAACTTCTTCGACACTACGGAGTTCCTGAGAAGATTGTCAATATTATCCGGAACCCATACGACGGACTACAGTGCAAAGTAGTGCATGGAGGACAGCTGACAGATGCATTCCAAGTAAGGACCGGAGTCAGACAAGGCTGTTTACTCTCTCCCTTCCTCTTTCTTCTGGTGGTCAACTGGATTATGAAGACCTCAACATCTGAAGGAAAACACGGAATAAAATGGACAGCTCAGAACCAATTAGACGATTCGGACTTCGCAGATGACCTAGCCCCCCTATCACGTACACACGAACAGATGCAGATGAAGACAACCAGTGTAGCAGCAGTCTCTGCATCAGTAGGCCTCAGCATACACAAAGGGAAAACCAAGGTCCTCAAATTCAAAGCGGAAAACAGCAATCCAATCACTCTTGATGGCGAAACTCTGGAAGATGTAGAATCCTTCACATATCTGGGAAGCATCATCGATGAACAAGGAGGCTCAGATGCAGACGTAAAGGCGAGGATCGGCAATGCAAGGGTCGCATTCCTACAATTGAAGAACATATGGAACTCAAAACAACTTTCAACCAATATCAAAGTGAGAATCTTCAATACGAACGTCAAGGCAGTTCTACTGTATGGAGCTGAAACTTGGAGAACTACAACAACCACAATCAAGAAAGTACAAGTATTTATAAATAGCTGTCTACGCAAGATACTCAATATCCATTGGCCGGATACCATCAGCAATAGCATTCTGTGGGAGAGAACAAACCAACTTCCAGCTGAAGAAGAAATTAGGAAAAGACGATGGAAATGGATAGGACATACATTACGCAAATCGTCAAACTGCATCACGAGGCAAGCCCTAACTTGGAATCCTGAAGGGAAGCGAAAAAGAGGAAGGCCAAAGAACACATTGCGTCGGATAATAGAAGCAGATATGAAAAGGATGAATAGGAACTGGACGGAGCTAGAAAGGATTGCCCAGGACAGGGTTGGATGGAGAATGCTGGTGAGCGGCCTATGCTCCTTCACGAGGAGTAACAGGCGTAAGTAAGTAAGTAAGTAAGTAAGTAATACAGTGTTTAACTAAATAGGATCATTAAAACGTGATTTTTATCATACCATTTCCTAGTTAGCACTATATACTAAGTTAAACAAATATTTGAACCTAAGGAGTACTGGATAGCTAACAATAAAATAGTTAGGCAATATAAAAGCGTATATTATTGAATTTGAACCTGAACACCATTATGAACACCATTTACTTATAAACCATTCATTAGAGTATTGAAAAATTCTATGTGTTCAATTACGTTCCAACAAATGTCTGAAATCTTCCTAATTTGTTAGTTGTAATTAGAATTAAATTTGATGTGTTACTGACAACGGAAATTTGTATTCTTAATAACAAATAAAGGATTTCTATTTCTAATGATGTGATTCACTAAAATTGTGCAGTAGTGTTTACAGTTAATTAGCATACATAAGCATAGAATGAAACAGCTGGATATTTAACCCTCTGAAAAATAATCAAATTTTATTTTATTTATGCTGATCAACTTTAAATACCAGCCGAAGAAGAAATTAAGAAAAAGCGATAGAGATGGAAAGGAAATACATTGTGAAAATCATCAGACTGCATCATGAGGCAAGCGCTAACGTAGGATCTTGAAATGAAATGGTAAAGAGGAAGATTGAAGAAAACACTACGTTGAAAATTGAAGGCAGATATCAAAAGGATAAATAGCAATTGAAAACAACTGGAAAGGATTATGCAGGAAATAATTGGTTAGAGAATGGTGGTGGGCGGCCTATGCTCCTCGGTGAGGAGTAATAGGCATAAGTAAATAAGTAAGTAGATTGAAATAAGACTGTATAGCTTTAGTAAATGATATCGTCTAAAAAAGTTTTTTCTTAATCCTTAAGTGGATTATTTTTCTTATTTATAGCTAAAAGATAAACCGAAATTTGAACAGTTTCGTTATGAATAATCATTCTTGAATAAAAGTAAATGCATTAATCCCTACAAAAGTTAATCAATAGAAAGCTTATAAGGTATTAAAATGAATTAGTGCTATAGATATTACTACCAAGAAATTATCATTGAATCTTACTGTTTTTCTCATTCAATCCATCAATTCCATGTACTGTAGCTTTGATATAACCAGTTATCGGTTCATCTTCTATTGAATAAATTTATAAAAGAAAAGTTTTATCTTGGTAATCTGTTATGCTTTAAAGTCTTTTTTTACTGTTGAAAAAATTCTACTGTATTTTGAGTGATTTTACTTTCATAACAGCTGGTTAACGATAATGATTGTTATAGTTACAGTTATTTTTGTCTTCTTCTAAGTTTAATTATGAATAGCTGATAGCAAGGAATAACTGATTTGATTTATAACAATATTGTACATGATACATTTGATCTTACATATAATCCAATTATACTTTTATCACCTAAACATATTTGTCTAGCAGAACATAATTTAAAAATCAAGGAAAGGTCATTTAAGGAATTACTGGGATTCAAGAAGTACATCTAAACAGTGTAATGCTGATTTTGACTTTCCTAGCTTTCTATGTATAATCGATTTTGAGATACTTTACTTTTGTGGTAACAACCATAATAATCTAGTGGTTCACTATCTTTAAAATACAGTCAGTCTAGTCTCAGATGGAATGAAAGGCATCTTCTTGGATTCCATTACTCCCACAAACCATTCATTCTATTTAATTTAGATGTTTTGTCAAACAAAAAGACTTGAAGTTAAATGAAGAATAACTGTTTAACTTACTGTCAATTATTGAGAGACCAACTCCGTTTAATTTAACCATCTGATAAAGGAAAAAGAGAAAAAGCAAATCGTAAAACAATTTGACTAGTACATTTCCTAATAATCATAAAAACAATACTTCATTGATAGGAAAGGAAGGAATTCGATTGAGGTAAGGTCAGTTGTCGAATTCTTATATTACCTATTCGAAGTTTTTCTACTTTTCTAATGTATTCTTAGGGTTGAGTATGGAAGTAACAACAACTGGAGAAATATGAGAATAATACGAATTCTCGCTTAGAAGAAAGAAGTAAAATTTATTTTTTTATTTGGTTGACTTTATAGTGACTTCAATTTTGATTTTATAATGAAACAGCTGAGGGGATATACATATATAGAACGTCTATGACCGATTTAGCTTGATTTACATTATGAGGGCAGTTTTTATCGTTGCTGAATATAATTTGAAATACAGTTGAAAACCAGGAGATGATGCGTATTTATTTAGCCTTGAGTTCTGAGTTTACCCTCAAGTTCGGTAGCGGGTACACAGTGATAAGGAGTCATAAACTAGTACTATTTGATTTTCGTTGAGATATTAACCGATGTCTGTCAGTACCACATTCCAGCTAGTTTAATACGTGTAAATTAGTCAATTTACTAGGTGTTATCGGATTTCCTGTTTGAAAACATGTCTGTGTTATGTGGCCAAGCTTCGTTTTCCCTGTATTGATTACTGGTCATGTTAGATGCTTTTTTCAAGATTTACTTTACTAGTTCTTGTATTAAAGGATGACAATGTACAATTTGTTACTGTTACGATGATTTACTTAAAATGTACAGTTTTAGGAAACTGTGTTTGTATTGATGTTAGGTAAGTGAATTTTACAATTTAGACCAGTTAAAAACTAATTATTTTGCTAACTACCTACAAACAATAAGCTTTCAGATATGACAGCTGAGTCCCAACCACATCAATTTAATGCACTGAACCCATTAAATAGTAGGTTGACTATAAAAGAAGAGAAAATTCTACCTATTCTCAAATGTCTTATCATATTTACAAAATATACATTAACGTGGGTTAAACAAAAATGGGCTTGTTATCTTCTGAATATCTCTTTACACTGACTTAAACGTTCTCCATACATTTTAATTAAAATGGATTTTTGTGTCTTAGGTAATTAACTATAATTATGTTTTAATTATTAGGCGGCCTGCTTGAATATCTAGGCTACCCGTTTCTGTTATTTGGATATTTCAACATGTTAACATTTTGCTCGTTTACCTTAACACAGAAAAATGCCTATTAGTCTCACAAGCTATTCAGGTGCATTTGTGAAACGTTTACGACATTTTGCTATACAAGTTACAAAAGAGCTCAGTCAGAGACATCGTGGTTGCTGGCTGTATGCATCGAAAAGAATATATATTATTCAGATGTTGAGTCCTGAATTGCTAACATCTAACTGGCGACCACTCAACATTCGTCTCAACAACTGATCAAGAAATAAGAAAAAGAAACTTGTTGAAATAGTTTGTGTTGAGAATTCTATATTGTACCAAAAACATCTTGAATAAACCCAATAATTATAATAATTTTATGAATTGTGTTTATTTTTTTGAAATAATTATTTCGTTTCATTGAGATTGAGCAATCACTACAAAATTGTAAAATCACATTTTATCTTTCAGCTTCAAAATGTACGTTTTCATTCTTAGTTATCCTTGCGTTACATCTAGGTTGTCAGCTTCAAACAAAACGTTTAACTGTTTTTCGATTCTCAAGACTGAATTCGGGATGTGTTGGAAATTGATACTTTTCAAGTATTCTTGACTTTAAATTAAGTGTATAATACTCGCTGTTACTTTGAATCTTTGGAACTTATCGAATACTATATTTTTATTCACATATGGCTGATGCTCAATTCGGCTGCGATACTTATATAGACCGATTTAATAGGTACTATAATGTCATCTCCTTCAAAAATACAATCAAGAAATCTTGTGAAACGATCTAATGAATATAATAGTGAAGTAGAATTGAAGGAGAAATAGTTTGAAGGAACAGATTAGAATGAATGAACATGCAAAGGAAACGAGTGATCTTCCAGTGAATGGATACCTGAATAAAAAAAATTTCTTGCTTTCTTAATTCCGTTCCTAACTAATTAGTCAAAATTATAATCAAACGGCAAACGTTTGTTAAATGTTTGATTATTACGATCAGAAAGTAGCTAAACATTTGCAGTGTAAACAATCAATGGTTGCATATACGCTAATAAAATAGCTATAAAACGGTAATATAGTGTTTACTATGACAAAAAATAGGTATGAAGTACAAAAGTATGTTGTTTATAAACAAACTGATTAGTTAACATCTATGAACTTCTTTATACACTCCTGTATTTCCATTGTATAATTAGACCCAGTAAGGTTATTTCGCTATTTAGAAAACCGGATTAATAAATATTCTAAGAATAATCGAGATGAATATGAAATACACTCAGCATTGACCAACAGTAAGAATTATAATCTTATAATGATTACTTAAATCCTCTAGATCCTTTATAAAACAGACGTATCGGATTGTGTATTATCAATAAGTAATCAAACTGGAAGTTCAGGAATAATCACAATTACCAAGTATCAGATGAATCAGTGGTTTTATTATTGAAAATATTGGCGATATTTCAATCACATTGATTTGTGTAAAAACAACAATGAATCTCTAGCTAGTTTTGACATACTAATTGTCTAAACGCTCCTTGAAATTTTATGGACTATATTGAGTTGTTAGATGGTTGGAGGTAGTCGTGAGGAAACCTTAAACCCAAACTCCATGCGATTCGAGACTCGTTAGCAGAACATACCAGTGACTGGACAGAAGCCCAAATAACTCAGTGGTAACATCCGGCAGTTTGAAGTCAAGTGACGTGGATTCCAACCTCACTGGTAGCATCAGTTTCTTCAAAATTGTAGGTAACCCTGTGGACGAGCGCCAACCAGCACGAAACGTGGATCCAGTGTTACATGACGACTACCTCCAACTCCTTACATTTCAGTATAGTGTACGCGATGTTGAACCCTTTAAATTAGTAGCGTCATTACAAATGGATCAATGGAATTTAATCAACACTAAGAGACTAGACAAACATAATATTGATCACTACTCAGTAGTAAATCAGTTGAATTATCTTAAGTGTTCATAATCCAGGTTAAATTTATGTCTAAGGTCTAATAACCCCACAAATATTAGTCTTAATCAAACTAAGCGCTTAAGTGTACCGGTGGATAATTTGCAAATGTTCAGCTTCCTTTATATTACTTCCCCCATAAAACCAGGTGTCAATGCTTTGTATTTAAATTTATGCCAAGCAAGTAAAGCAATAGAGTATCTTCATAAAATATAAGAACTATACAGTAAATAGTTCATTTGCAAATTTTCGTCATTTGTCCTCCTCATTCTATATGATTCTTCAAGTTCACAATTCCTTTCTATTATCCCTTCTATCCTATTCAATTCAATTCTTCTTAGCCTTTTGTTGCCAGGTTTTGCACCTCCGATTGGTAATACATACTACTTATGTCTGTCAACATAAGTAGCATACACCACAGAGAGAGGAAATGTTGAAATTCTTTAAATTTCAATCACCAAGATTATTTGAAATATAATTATTACATATAATGTCTTCTGCATACTCAGTACCCAATTGTTATCAAACTATTTTCTCTAACTGATATTCATATAAATTTATATAGAGATGATAAACGAAATTAAAATGTGATCAAGAGCAAGAGTACCGTAATCAAATTTAAAAACTTCTGTATATGGTGTTCAGTATGAGATTGGCAGTTGGAACTGATTTGGTAGTCATATTTTGTAGATTAGTAAACAATGATGACTTCGGTTTAACCACAAAATGACATTAGGTATGATACTAAACCAAATCAGTTAACGCAGTATACCAAATATACATACTTCCACTTACAAACTCATTTAATGCTTCATTGATATTTGTTTCTTTTCCAATTTACTTTTATCACATCCTATAATCTTTATTAATCCCTGATTTAAGCTTTTAGTCTCTTATTACAGTTTTATCTGCTATATGGTTGGTTATGTCAGTTTCTTACAAATAGATAAGAAACAAGAAAATTTTAATAATCATATAACTAATTTAGAAAACTTCTCTGTATGTATCTTATTTAAGGGTAGGAATGTATGGTGTTAATAAATTCTCTTGAACTATTTTGAATTCTTGTTATACATTCAGAATTTCCTTTTAAAAGACATCAAGGATGAGGATTTCTCTATTATTATCTGAACGGTAGTAAGATACATAATAAGTAAATGATTTATCTACAGCATTAATCTAAGGATTAAAAGTTTGTAGTTTTATGTACTTGATATATTATTTGTAATTTTAGTTGCACTGTTGTATCTACTATCTGGATAAAGTGAATGAATGTAATATCAGTCTTACATATACAATATATTGTCATCAGTTTTTATTTACATAACCAAAGAACTCACGTGTTTATATTTCTTTAGGCGTTCGCTAAAATCTCCAATCGAAGAACTACGGCTTCGCGATGGTGAATGAAAATAATCCGTACTTATTTTTTCTGGAGTAGTACGTCTTAAAGAATAAAATTTATCACTATTATGAGGCGGTTTATCTAACACTTGTTCTAAAGCAGACCGCCAGTGTGTTCGTTCTCTTTCAGTTGATAGAAGGATATTATGAATACGACCGCTTTTGTCAGCGATTGGTAATATGAGTTGCGGTGTTTCCAAAACAAGTTTACCTTCCTGTAATAAAAGAAAAAGTACTGTCGTGAAGTGAATTATTGATTGTTTTTATTGCTAAGTAAATACCAACAATCTTTAAATAATTTTTGTAAATCTAAACCGTCAGTACAAGGTGATAAAATTTTAAAAAAAATATAGTTTTATTTCGTATTTTACCATTTTATTCAACTTCTAATCTCTAATAAGTTTCCTTATTGGATGGATAGTTGTAGACATGAAATAAGTAACGAAAGTCTAATATGCACGAGTTTAAATCTAGAAAAAACTTGAGAGTAGCTACAGATGGAAACTATAAAAATATTTGAGTAAGATCTTAGATAAGTGAAGTATGTCCCCAATGATGTTTTTAGCCAAGTAAATTATTTTCCAGCTTCCACCAAAATGATACTGTGGTATGTGCTACTTATATCGATATAAGTAGTTTATAACGCTAGTCAGGGATAGAATGTTTGGCAGCAAAAGCTCAAGAAGATCGGGGCGGAAAGAATGGGAACAGAAAGCAATTAGTATGGAAATGCAGGAACATTAAAGTCTGAGACGATTGACTGATATTTGCAAAAGGAATAGGCAAGTTTGAGACAATTGATTGACATTTTGCAAATTAAGTATTCACTGTATGGTTCTCAGATTTTACTAATATGTTCTGTAGTTCGCTGTTCAAATACGTCCGATTATCCCCAATTACGTTCACGTTCACTAAAACACTACTTATACAATCTGTTTTTAGTGGCTTTATATTTGACTCCATTTAGATCGTATGAATGATTGTTACTGAAACATACATGTTGCCAATCCTCGTATATGATCATCGAATTAAACCTCGTTAGTCAATAACGAAATTAAATAGGTTAAATGCTAGAATGAAGTTTTGAATACGTTGATCTGCATAGGCAGTCGTGGAGACGAATCAAAGGAACTGTGTAGGGGAGAGAGAAGCAAAACTAAATGATATGAGATGGAGAAGGCAAGCCAGCCAACTCGATTTAATCAAGCGTTAATCGATATTTATAGTCGAACAAAAATAAGTTACAGATATGTGATGAATAGGATAAGAAATGCACACACATACGCTCATGTCAAAACGGTCAAAGTTGATAAGTGAATAATTAACAAGGTCAAAAGGTGACTCAGGTAGACTGAATAAAATGGCTTGTCCGTAAGCCGGAATAAGGTATGTGGGCTTAACATAACAATCGATACAAATGTTTGACAACAGTGACAATTAATTTGTTGGGAAATTCAACTTGAAAGGCTTCCAGTTCAGTATCCAATTTGAATAATTTATCCAAGCAAAATTGTCAATAATTCGGAAAGCATCACCAATTATTCTCCAAATGGTTTTTATTATTTCTCATAGACACGTTAAAGTAAATCAATAAACTTTGTAGATGTTCCAGAATAACTTGCTGTTTTATGAAGTGACAGTTCCTAGTAAGTGACTTAATAGTCTCATAATTTTTTAGGCGACTCTTTACGTACACACGAACGATCAAATAGATAATGTTTAAAAATCTTCACAGTTCATAACATTAGGGTACATATAAATATTTTTGGTTTGTTCGTATAAAAAAATACGACAGTTCAACCTTCTCAATATCGCACGATACTTTCAATAGCGCGGGTATATTAATTATGTTTTTGTTTAAACTTTTAAATGTCTTTAAATAGAAAATGCAGGAGAATTAACAATTTGATATTGAGAATTTCTTTAATTTCCAAGTAATTATACCATCAATTAATTTGAAGAAAACTCTTTGACATATGTTAACTTCATTTATTCGTTTGGATAATTAGATTCCGAGTCTTTTAAACTTCAACTAGGAAAGTTAGGCGAAACAAATGTGGAGAGAGTGAAGCTCAAATGAGAACATTCTTAATCAAATATTCTCTTTGGCTTCAAAGTTTGAGAGAAGCATTGTATTATAGGTGAAATTATAATTTTGTATTTTTGTGGTGGCTTAGCTTCGAGATAATTTCCTTAGGCTTCGTTTATCAATCACCGTGATAGCCATCATTAAATAAATTCCAATGGTGTATAGATTCAGAAGGAAATACGAAGCGCCGACTACAGTTTATTATTGAATAGTGAAGATGACAAAGTTCCAAGCACATCAAGCGAATTTAAGCAGAAAGGCTAATGCGCGAGTTAGCGGATACAGAGTCAAATCGGATCCAAACGAATCAATTAAAAAGATTCAAGCATAAATATACGTGGGAAAGCGAACGATTCATCAAGCGATATTTAAGCAACGAACATTTAAGGTATTGAGGAATATGCGCGTATGCTGTCACATGTGACCAAGCCTACATGTTCATACGGACATGATAGTAATAACAAACAATCATACGAATAAATAGACATGCCGTTCCAATAACACGTTCAGATACACGTCTAAACAAGTTAATCAAAGGGCTTGACAAAATTAACCCTAAACGATCCTAATTGTAAGAAAGGTGCTATACCATTTTTAATTCATCAAATTTATATTACTATGCATATGAGTTATACAATCCCATAGGTATAGACCAGTGTCAGGCAAGGTTGCTTACTCTCTCCCTTTCTCTTTCTCCTGGTGATCGACTGGATCATGAAGACATCAACATATGGAGGGAAGCACGGGATACACTGGACATCTGGGATGCAGTTAGACGATCTAGACTTCGCAGATGATCTGGCCCTTCTATCCCAAACGTAACAACAAATGCAGGAGAAAACGACCAGTGTAGCAGCCGCCTCAGCAACAGTAGGTCTCAATATACACAAAGGGAAAAGCAAGATTCTCCGATATAACACAATATGAACCGATCCAGTCACAATTGACGGAGAAGATTTGGAAGATATAAAAACCTTTACATATCTGGCCTGCATCATTGATGAACAGGGTGGATCTGATGCAGATGTGAAGGCGCGGATCGGCAAAGCAAGAGCAGCATATTTACAACTGAGGAACATCTGGAACTCAAAGCAACTGTCAAACAACACCAAGGTCAGGATTTTCAATACAAATGTCAAGACAGTTCTACTGTACGGGGCGGAAACCTGGAGAACTACGAAAGCCATCATCCAGAAAATACAGGTGTTTGTTAACAGTTGTCTGCACAAAATACTTCAGATCCGTTAGCCGGACACTATTAGCAACAACGTACTGTGGGAGAGAACAAAACAGATCCCAGCGGAGGAAGAAATCAGGAAGAAGCGCTGGAAGTGGATAGGACACACATTGAGGAAAACACCCAACTGCGTCACAAGACAAGCCCTCACATGGAATCCTCAAGGCCAAAGGAAAAGAGGAAGACTAAAGAACACATTACGCCGAGAAATGGAGATAGACATGAGAAAAATGAACAAGAATTGGATGGAATTAGGAAAGAAGGCCCAGGACAAAGTGGGTTGGAGAATGCTGGTCTGCGGCCTATGTCCCATTAGGAGTAACAGGCGTAAGTGAGTAAGTAAGTATACAATCTCCTCCTGAAATGCATCTATTAAACTTTTATAACGGGATTTTTCGCCTCACGAAAAAGTTCTGATATACTCATACATTCGAAAAGCCAGCTGATACAAGCGAATTCAGTGACGAAAGATAAATCTGAAATTTTAATTTTAATTATTCACATGATGATCAACTGATATTTCTAATAACTATCATCAGTGGAAAACACGCATTTCACGAATTACTCAACTATTCTAAGTGTGATGTGTTCTAATTGTAAGCATAGATATAAATGGCATGTATCAGGAAGTGAAAATAACATTCTGACAGACAGAAAAGGAGAAAAAAGAGAAAGGAAAGCAGAAAGCAATCGAAATAACATCAGGAATTAAAGGACGTTGAAGTTTGTAAAGAATAGCTTAAAGAATATAGGCAAATAGTGTATTTAATGCATTGTTTTCATGTTTTACTAATGCAGTAGTACGTTCGCATAATAGAATACATCGTTTTACTCTAATCAAGTCCTAGTTCATTACACAAGCACAAATATAAATAAAATCTATGGTTTATTATGCCAAAAAGTCATCAGAAACTATTGTTGGGTGTGAAAACGGTTGACAATTTAACTGTTGTCCAACCATCCGAAAGATGACCATTTCATTCTCGAATAAATTCATTTATTTCTAGTGAGAAAGAAAATGCTAGGGTTCATCAGTACTTTTTCAACATATCTATAATTCAATTCAAAACCGAGTGAAAATAAGTAATTGTTCTTGACCAACCAACTTGCCTTTATTTAACTTAAATAAACTTAACCAGTTTTTTAGGTAGATCGATCAACCACATTTCACTTCACTAAGCACAAGACAAACAAGAATTTTCCAAGGATATTATTATGTGAGCACTATTTGAAATGAATATTTGGAACCCCTACCATAGTCGAATGATAAGATGCAGGCTGATCCATGTTAAACGTTACTCGCTCATCTATTCCGAGCAAAAATAATTAAACAAGTTATTGAACGTCTATGAAAATAATATTTGCCAATAAATTAATAGAAGTCAATAGTTCTAGTTTAACTAAACTTTTAATAAAGAATTTATCAATCAACTTTCCAAAAACATAATGATTAATTTAATAGACAGTTTGTTCAACAGAAACACTGATTACATAATATATTAGTTATGTCATCCATGTTCGTAGATTGATCTATATGATGTTAGAGATATTCCCTATTCCATTTTATGCTTGCACAAAATACTAATATTACTGATTAGAAATGAAAAAAACAACAGAGTAAATTAACTTATGATAAGTAAAACAACACTTACTAATTTACTTAGACTGATTAATTTAGATGTGTTCTTGGATGAATGTTTATCCTATCAACAAATAAAGGCAGATAATTATTAGGATATAATGATTAGTTTCATTGAAATAACTTGCGAAATAACTCATGATCTCAACTAATGAAATTACTACAATCACCACAAAACCCCTTATGATATTAATCAACATATGCTCACTAGTGACTGGCCTCAAGGTGTATATCATGGCGTTCTAGTGAGAAGCAGTGTAGTTCAACAGGGTCTGTTGTGAAATAGTAACTAACTGAAGACAATGGTGGATGTGCAGCTCAATTTTGTGGATTAGCTGAAGTTAGACATTAACACCTTTGGATGCCGGCCGGCTCAGTGGTCTAGTGGTTAAGCGCTCGCGCGCGAGACTTATAGGTTCTGGGGTCGTGGATTCCCCCTTCTGAGGAGTCCCATACTAGGACAAAACGGCCGTCCAGTGTTTCCAGGTTTTCCATGGTGGTTTAGCTTCAACTTGCTCATGATCTCAACTACTGAAATCCCCTTAAAACTTATTTTTTATTGTTAATAAAGATGCTTCTAATGTACTGATCCTAACTAAAACAAAGAAGTAAGTTATAATTACGTTATTATTTTTTATTATTTTGTCTAAAGTTTAATATGGTTTGAAAGTTATTAATGTTACAGAATGACAAGAGAATTATCATGTTTGTATTAGATTCTCAACTTATTCTTTAATATGAACAATTACACGGTAAAAAAGTTTCTATTTCATTCTTGTTTAAATTCAATAACACTAAACACTTATCTGTGCTAATTAAAGTTAGAGAGTCTTTTTTGACGAATAACGTAGTAAAAAGCTGATGTTCTTATATCAAACTAATGACTATTTTACTGTTTACTACAGTTTCAGGAACTATGTTTGTTGTCTTTGGCTTGATCCGATTACAAATACACTATTTTCAAACTTACTATACAGAATAAGAAGACTAAAAGTGAGTAAAAGCTCATCGTCAGAGGCCGAACCATAATATACACAACTTAAACGATTTATGTGAGTGGTGATTTTGGTTAGGTGAGTAATTTGCTTACCCAAGGTAGCCCAGAAATTGTGTATATCTCACTTACTATGTGGTACTGAGACAGGTTATGATCAATCTGAAATCGCAAAGTCTATCAGAATACCATTCATGAAAAATATTGTTAATTCAATTGACATGTCTCAGTTAATACAAGAGCATACCAATACACCCAAGAGATTATCATTCAAACTGAATTGTTACAAACACTTCATAATACATTTAATGATCGAAATTGATTCCAAATTTTTAAAATGACGCGTAGCTGGATAAATTTGCCGTATATTCCTTTGTCTTTCCTTTACACGTATAGGTAGATTGACGTTCGAATATTTTAGTTTTCTACCTCAATTGGCACGCTGGTAAACATAAATTTACTTTCAAATATATTCCATAATTCAATGAATTCTCTTTGTTGATTTAATTTTGTGTTAGTCAATATATATATTCTAGAATTATGTTCACCACTTTATTTTTCTCATCATTTAAAGTTAAAACGTACAAACTACAATTTGTTTATTTCATGTCTACTATTAACTAATCTTGTTGTAAATAAATGATCTGACTAAGTTTGTAGCCCGGAAATCTGTGAGCGTATTGTCTGTGTATTTTTCTGGTCAAACCTAAAGTCATTTAGGTTCCTGTACATACTTACACCCTACTTACTTACTTACACCTATTATCCCTCATGAAGGAGCGCAGGCCGCCCACCATCATTCTACATATAACTATATCCTGAGTAATACATTTCAGTTGTTATTCATCTTTTTGATGTCTGCTTCCAATCGCCGAGGCAATGTGTTCCTTTGTCTTTCTCTTTTCCTTTTACCTTTAGGATTCCTAGTTCGGGCTTGCTTCGTGATAAAATTTGGATATTTCCTCAATGCATATCCTATCCACAACCTCCAACGTCTTTTCCCGATTTCCTCTTCAGATGGAAGCTGGTTTGTTCTCCCTCATAGTAGTCTGTTGCTGATGGCATCCGAACAACGGATATTCAGTATTTTACGTAGACAATTATTTATGAGTACTTTCGCCTGTTTGTTGATGGTAGTGGTAGTTCTCCAAGTTTCAGCTACGTACAGTATAACTGTCTTGACACTCGCATAGGAGATTCTCACTTTGCTATAGGTCGACAGTTATTTTGAGTTCCGTATGCTCTTCAACTGTGAGAAGGTGGCCATTGCTTTCCCAATCATTGCTTTTAAGTCTGCATCAGATCCTCCATGTTTATCGATGTAAAAGAAAGTTTCCACCTCTTCTAGAGCTTTTCCATCGAGTGTGATTAGGTTGGCGTTCTCTGTGTTGTATTTGAGGATTTGGATTTTTTGTTTTCTTTATGATGAGACCTACTGATGCAGAGACTGCTGCTACACTGCTTGTCTTCATCTGCATTTGTTGATGTGTATGGAATAAAAGAGTTAGGTGATCTGCAAAGTTCAAATGGTCTAATTGCATGCAAGCTGTCCATTTTATTCCGTGCTTCCCATCAGATTTGAAGATCATCATAGTCCAGTCGACAGACATACGAAAAAGAAATGAGGAGAGTAAGCAGCCTTGTCTGGCATCAATTCTCACGTGAAATACATCTGTCAGCTCTCCTTTTTACAAAACTTTGCAGTGTAGTTCATCGTATGAACTCCGGATGATGTTGACGATCTTCTCAGGTGCACCTTAGATGCTGAAGAAACCTGTACTTTATATAGAAATATTTAAATTTCATGTTAAATAACCAAGGAATTTGTGTATAAATGATGGACCTTGATTTTATGCTTAGTAATGGCTTTCAGCAAATTCAAATTCATCTGTTATAATATGAAGCTTTCACAATGGGTTAGAATACATAACTAATGGATTCAACAGTACCACAGTAAATTATATTTAGACTTCTACTGACCTATTCAGTGTCACTTTTTCCTAGTTTTCTTATAATCAGTTTATATTTCTTAAAAAATTAGTACAGCACCTCACCTCTAGACTACGACTCATTGTTTGCCGTAAATTACGAACCATGCCTTTCAGTTCATCTAGATTTTTTTGGTTTTGTAATCGACCTCGATCATCTAAAAATGAAGTATACACAAACATAAATTTTGATGGGATTTTATGAATAAACGGATTATTTGTTATCAGTTAGACTCTCAAGTTATCTACCAACTACACTACAAGCACACAGTAATTCTATAAGTGGTGTCATTAACAAATACGTATATCCTAGACACTATTGAAAACAGTGACTTTTCAAGTTATCACTAAAATTATTTTGTTTACTGATTTTTCACAACGTTATTTACTATCAGAAACCTGTCTTCAGAAGATTATTTTATCACAAGAATATTTGAGTAAACATTATTTATACAAAGTTTTTAATAGAAAAGTAATGAGCGAAATCAAACGGAGAATTGACCTCTTATAATATCTTGATGAACAATTTGATTAAATTAGTATCTTCCTTGAATAGAGGAAATTTTGGACATCAACCAAAACACAACAATATCTTGAAGTGCTATTTCATTTCAATATTATTCATGGACGTTTCATCACTAAACTTAGATATTTCGTCACCTTCAGGTTAAACATTGGTAAATCATCACAGAAGTATGGTTGTATATGAACAGAAAGGAGGGGGATGAAAATGTCATCTATAAAAGTAGTCATATGTAAATAAATGGGCTACTTGTAGTTGTGATATGTTTAATGATATGAAACATGGTAAACCTTTTCTGTATCGTTATATAAGTACATCGTAAATTTATGAATTAAAAATCTAGGGAATATTGAAATTTTACTCAAGGATTACTTTGTTAAAGTTTTTAATGATACTGTCCTACATATGAGTATGTCATGTGTGCAGTTACTCACATCAACACAAATTGTCACTCCTGTTAAAAAAATCTCATCATTTTGGTCAAGCAATCAGTTGTCCATATTTATATCTAACTAAAACCTTTTGATTTTAATTATGAAAAAAAATACCATGGGAACACAATCAATATTGGTATTAATAGTAAGCTTTAAATAAAAATTTCACACAAAAGTTTTCGTTACAAAATATGTGAATCAGTTTATCGGTACAAATTGATTATCTTATTTAGGGTCCTATTTTGAAGATTAATGAAATCAATTAGTAGTGTTAAGTGTCAGCACTGAATGAAGATCGATTTCAATTGAAGGCAAATTGATGAATATGTTAATGAACATATAAATGTAAACAGATGCTAACTGAAGTAAATATTTTTATTGACGCTAAAAGTGACTGAGGAACAGTTATGAGGACTTTAGTAATAATAAATGCAAAGTAAAGGTAATTTCTTTTTGAATAGATCAATGGTGGACCACCATTGAAAATCTGGAAGCATTTCACGGCCGTTTTGTCCTAGTACGGGACTCCTCAGGATGAAACAGCCGTCCAATGATTACAGGTTTGCAATGATGGTCTAACATTGATCCATTCATAAATTCAATCTAAACTAAACAATCTCTACAACCCTATACTGCTAATTCCTTCTATATTATTGAATTATTTTCGTTATAATAATGCCTACTACTTAGCGATTATTAAGTCGAATTATTTGTTCCGGATCAAAAGTCAACCGACTCTCTGTAATCTAGTTTACTGAATTCTTGAACTTATTCTTATACCCTATGTGTTGTTCCAAACAAAAAAAGACACACGAAGTATGATTTCATATTGTTTCTTTTAGTGAGAAATCAATAGTCGTATATTAAATGACATGAAAAGATGAGATAATAATAATTCATTATAATGCTATCGAATCTTACCACTCCCAACTCTTGAATTAGATAACAAACTCATTTCTTCCATTGAAATAAACCACTTTATTTCGAGTTCATAGCTAGGAGCAGAAAATTTTCCAGATCTTTTTCTCCGAAATCGCGACTCACTCAGTGAAGAATTCTCATGTAATATCCTTTGTCTTTTTTAGAGTAGGAAAAGGATAAAAGTAAACTGAAATTAATACTGAATATGATTTTACTATGGTGAATATTTAACAGCAGTTAAGCTATACTTACAACCGGATGAATAAAATACATTTTATTATTAAATCACTTAACAGGTCAAAGTGTTTGAACATTGATGTCTTTGTGCTGACTCTTTAATATAAATGTCATCATTGTGTTAAGAATTCTGGTAATACACAATTCCTGTGTAATCTGTTCTTTTTGACAAAAATGTGTGAATATGAAGACTGAAACCAGTTGGAATGACTCATATTCTAATACAGTATAAACTGCCACTAACTGTAATTAACGATACAGTAGGACGTTTAAGTCTTCAATTCTGTAGGTTGTCAGGTCTACCTATCTTTTTAACCTTCCTTGAAGTTGCATTCGTTTGTCAGGGTCACCTCCGACGCTGTAACTGTACAGTGTATTTCTATTAATTCATAGCTTATGAAATGAGTTTGCTTGGTTTAAGATATACTGATTTACTAGTTATAAGTCATGTACACCATTGCTATATTTATACGATGGACAACATTAAATATCTAGACAGAAATCTGTACAGTGTGATGTAATTTAGCATGTTTCTGAAAGGCCATGAATTCCAAAGATCTCAACACTAAATGTGATTTTGTGTTTCTTTCTACAAAATTTACACGATTACACTTTCTTACATAACGCTGGGTTACTAACATTGTAGTGAACAAGAACACCAGTGGGGACAATCGAATGTATTTGATACAAAATTACAGGACTTGTTAATAAAATCTAACAATCATGAAGTAAATGCTTAATTTGCAAAATGTCCACCAATTGTTCCAAAATGACTCAGACTTCATTGTTCTTGCATTTTCATACAAACTGCATCCTGTTTCCATTCTTTACTGTTCGATCCTCTTATCTCTCTGCTGCCAGACCTGTTCACGACCAACATCATATACTACTTATGTCAATATAAGTAGTACATACCACAATGTTATCATAAAGTTTTGAGTCATGTTTCATTCATTCTACTAAACGATTCATTTAAATCAGGAAGTACATTATTCGATATTATTTTGTTTGTGAATGGGTAATCATTAAACGAAATTAATCACTTCGTACTTGTTTCCTACTTCCATTCTGCTCACAATTACTGGCACTTTTACATCAATATTTAAACAATAGCTTAGTTGCTATAAAAAACTCAATTCCCAGTGTTTCAATGGTTAAATTTTCAACACCACAAAAGAGTATGTAACACTAAATGTTTTACATACCACCCCATTTGAACAAAGATTCAACAATGAAATTATCTGAGTGAATTAAATACTTCATATATTAATCTGAAAAGGAATCACTAAACTTAAGTTAGCCTTCGGCTTTATTCAAAGACAAAGTCTTGAAACGGCTGGAGGTATGATGACGTTTACAGGAAGATCCTCTTGAACCTGCACTTAAACTTATCCCAGGTTTTTTCGGCACAGTGGTTCTGGTCAATAGTTTTTCAATATTTTACGAAGGACCTTCATGTACGTTAGCTGCAAATTGTCATCGATATTTTCATTAAAACGACAGTTGTTACGTTTGTTGTAATAGATATTTATTTAAGTGTTGAAATTGTTTGATAATTTGTCAGTGATGAAAATAAATATTGGTGTATTTCGCGGATATTTTTATAATGTGGATTGTTACTAAAATGCACTACAGAACTTATTTGATGGTAGCTTTCTGGACATTTTACTTAAATCTAGCACGAAATGCACTTGACTGGGATAAGTTAACTAGTTTTTTCAATGCTTTTATCCATTCGAATCAAGTTTCCGTATAGTGTATCGGTTTAAAGTGTTTATATAAGTAGCGATTTCTATGCACAAAATTGAACTATACAACCGGTATGGTAAGAATAATGAATTAATCTAGAATTGCTCTGACAAATATACCCTTCAGTTATCTGGTAGTTTATGGTGTTGGCTCTAATGCAAGCGAAAATATTTTTAATGTTTCTTCGATATTTGTATGAAAGTCAGCAAAGTAGGTATGTTGAATGGAGTATACGAGTTAGTGCATTATAATTCTTGTCGCAGTGTTGTCAACTCACCTTAGTAAATAATTAAATATTAAAGTGAACATGAGCGTGCGGTGTTTGAAGCAAGCAGTACTGGGTTCGAGTTGTTGAGTAAAAGACCAACACTAGGATTCGGTCACATTGGGCAATAGAGTCCTAAAGGGAAAGAGACGCGCATCAATACCTTTGATAAAAAGATCAAAGTCGATTGGTCATAATATCATTTTCATCCACACAAACAAATACTTGGATAAATAACAATAGTATCAGTTATGTTCTTCTAAATTAAGTTTGTCAATTTTTTCTTGAAAAAAGGTTTCTATTTACAAAACAAATTTTCACTGTATTTCACTTCCTTACTTTTGTTAATTCGGATTTTACCTAAGATGTGTTAGTTTTTTCGCACTGAATTTGACAACGACTGTATTGGAATATTACAAGTAAGTTGTAAGTGTTTATCTTCCGTGATATTGACCAGCGTACTAACATCGCGTCAATAGTTCATGAAAGAAGACATGGACGGAAGTTGATTGATTCTGATATTCTTATTGTTTAACAAATAATTTAGAAACATTTTACTCTACTGAATTAAATAACCTGTATAATTTCATATAGAGGTTTGGTACATAAATTTAAAGTATTAGAGTTAGATTGTTCCTTTTTATTTATCTCTTGGTTTATGCGTTCAATCCTACTCAATATGTGGATTGATGTGTATGTCGGTATTTGATAAATATTCCAGGTTCTATTTCTATATAAGCTTGAATAACCGATAGTGTGAATTTGTGATTGATACCAAATTTAAAATGACAAGAGTGTTTATACTACTATGGTGTTGATAAGAATCATAAGTACACATGGTATGCGTGAAGTCCATTAGAATGTATACAATAAACATGGTATGATGATTTTACCATTTCAATCAACTTCATTTAATATAAATATCCTATATTTTTCATAATAATTGTATATTTCCGTCTAGATTACTACAATAACTGCTTCTCTCATATATAATAATTAAATTGTTATTGAAAATATGTTGATATTTGAAATAATTATGGATGTAATTAATTACTTTATATTTTTGTGTATTTTTTCCAGTCTCCAATCTACTTACATTTGTATGAACAGTCGATTATCAACTAACCCTATCTGAACTACATATACACATGCTTGTGTTTTTCCTCTTTTGTAGTGCTGAAATTCGATAGGATACCTCTTTATGGAATATTTATAATTAGCTGTGGTTTAGGTATTATCACTGTTCTACTTGTGAAGTTTGTTTGGGTACCTTTGGTTCGTCGACATATTTTAAGTAAGTCGTTACTCTAGTAATCTGATGTATTCTATTGCGACTGTAAGATTTAGCTTGCCGTAAATGGACAGAGAGTAGACTGTGTTGAATTATGCAATTATATATTCCAGTCACCAAATGTGATTCGTTTACTTTGATTATGGTGAGATTGTGAATGCATACCACTGAAGATCCAAGGTTTATGTGAAATGTCCCTGTATTAACCTCTGAGTTTTCGGCACCTGTATCAACGAAATAACTTTATGCTAAAGGTTTTCTCCTGATGTTTGTTTTATTGATAATCGCTTAAGCCTTTTGATGCTCGTTAAACAATAATCACTGATTTTTCTTGTTGAGCAATTGAACTAGCCAGACAGGACAGTTTATTTATAATCTATGTGACCTCATAATCACTAACGTCATAAACGGATGAGCAGACGAATCAAAGGAAGCTAAATTTCATCTGACGTCACACATTTCAAATAAGTGATTGTTTGCTGTGTCAAAGAGATAAAGAAAGGATTAAGTGACAAATACCACACTTTATTTGTCGCAACGTGCGGCGTCCGTGACTTGATACTGATACCATAGTCTTTCCATATGCGAACCCGACTACTCAAGAGAAGATATGGGTAGTAAGAATGGAAGTTGATTTGGTGAAATCGACTCATATGCATGTGCACTTATGTGTATATTCCATAGGTAATGAGGTGTACTAAAAGGTTTGTGTGTGATCCTTTGAAAACGAAAGCATTTATCGGCCAGTCACAACCACTTATGATTTGAGGATTTCCGATTGACCCGTTGTAACAGTATTTTCCAAATAACTATTTTGTTTAAAACTGATTAGTTACAGAATATACTCACTGCTACTGACTGAATAAGTTAAGCACTACATTGAGAAGCTAATAACCAGAATAAATATGAATCTATATCATCAAATGGGATTTTTTTCAGAAAAGTAATTAAACTTCTGTTTTCTTGACCAGTTAATTTCGTCGACAAAATATAAATATAAAACGTAACCACTTATATTGTGAGGTTATTGTTTTTCTTACTCAATTCCTCTATCTTTGAACATTTGACGTTTATCTTTGTCGATTACGGAAACTGTGATTTTATTTTTTATGATAAAGGATTGAAGGGTCCTAGTGAGAAAACTGGAGAATCTCCCGTAGGTTTTGTGTATCTTGGATTATCACTGATAAATCTGATGACTTAAAATAGTTCAGTGATATAACTGTCCATCCTTCTGGATTAGATTATATCACTGACTATTGATTGAGGCCAGCTAAGTCACGTGATCATTGTGAATAAGCATTTCACTGAATGATTGTTTTTCTGGAGAAGAGTAACAGAAATATGAGATGCTATACTACATGTGGGTAGTAGGTCGTATGGTAACTGAGAAATTAAGGTGATATTCAAACTAGGAAATAGTTAAATAGATGTAAATACAGTGCAGAACAATCCTGTACAAATGTTTAAATACGTTTCGAAGGAGAAACGTAATTATCGCAGATTAAGATCAAATGAACTTAACTGTTGGTCAAAGATAGTGTACTTTGAGATTAAAATCACAGATATTATCATCTGTTTGCCTGCGTTCAGCTGACAACAATTCATATAAGGAATGACTTCTTATTGTTATAACTTGTGAACCTGTATGCCCTGTCTATTGTATAACGCCACGATACCGCCAATTAGAGAGCAGCGAATTATCGACCGAACCAGTGACGCATAAAACACGTGCGAGCAGCCTAGAGTCCTGATTGGTCCTGCTTTATGCCTGGCCCAGCCAGTTGAGTCCAGAACACCAATCTCAGCCTCTGCAATACGAATCATTTATTTCAAGCATACTGGGTTTATATATCAACCAGACAGACCACATGTACCATAAAACATGAAAGAATATTTGTACAAGAATTAGCCAAATGTGGCTGTGAGTGAGAGAGATAGTAATTGATAGACTGGGCATAACTGAAGAATGGTAAATCGTATATTAATAGTTCATAGGTCAAAATAAAACTCATAATAATGGGGGCATGAATATGAAAAATTCAGTTGCATAACAATTATACGATAAAAATATACTCATAGTATTGGTCCATAAATGGATCCCAAAAATTACCATTCATTATTCTTATCGGGACATAACACGTACAGATTTATTATTATATAATCCGATCTATAAATGTGTATACATTTAAGAGGTCTTTTCGAATTAATAATTAAGATATTTCGGAAGTAAGAATGAATTAAACAGCTTTATAACTTCATGTTTCATTTTCAGTGTTATGACTTTAAATTCTTACAGAACTGTGTTTTAATTTTACAAAAATGAAACCTGACTAATACACGGTAATAATGAACCTGTTTCGATTTTTCTTTAATGTGTGATAAATGAAGTAAAATGTAATTGTGTTTCATTGACGCTATAGATTCGCTTACAACAACTTACAGATTGTACGTAATTTTTACATTGACTAAAATATTCGGCTAATTCGGTGTTCATGCATTTTTATAGCTGGAGAATCGAGTAGACATATTTTAAAAGGCTATTGTTCCCGTAAGAGCAAAAAGAAATTGTCTGTCGCCGTAGACGATAAGTATCAATCTGTTGAGGATAACAAATCTTCCAAACTTTCAAGCAGTAATCATGAATCGATTGATATGGATACGTATGTACCTCGTGCAGAGGGAGAGGCTGTTGTTGGATTTCGAAACAATGTTGCCAAAGGAAATACAGATGACAAAGACAAACTTGGACGAGTTACTAATGAAAATAATGGTGTATTGCAGGGATTAGAAAATCAAAATAAAGTTTCAAGTCGTAAGTTTTGTTTTGTAAAATAAAGCCTCACTTGCGTTATCCCCAAGGTTGCATTGACACGAAATTCGTAATCATTTTCATGGTTAAAATCTCATGGAGATTAGATGCAGATTTATAGTTATATATACTTTGTAAAGCACAATTTGGTGACAATAATTTATTATGATTATCCTTATGAATTTGGATAAAAGCAGGCTGTTAGTTAAAACAGAAATATGTGGATATAGTATTTCATGGATTCTATTCATTTACGATTGTGTTGAGATATAAGATTAGTCATAGCACACAAACAAGGAGCTGAAATGGGATGTTATCATTGATGTTTTCTATAGATACATGTTGGAAAGCCCACCTGAAGATCAGCATAGAAAAATACGAAGAAAGAAGCTTGCTAAGATGAGCTGTGTGACAGTTGTACGAAACCTAAAAGGATTTACATAAGTTTGAACAATTGGGTTAAAGGAAGTCACTCAATAATTGTAAAAGTATGTTTTGAAGTGTATGAAATAATAAGTAACTTTCTAAAGATCGCCTAAATGATCATAATTATAATATCAACGGAAACGAAAGTATTATTGAGTGGGTTTTATGGTGATTGGTTTAATTTGAAGGTGGCATTCGTCACAGTTTGACCTCAGTCGGTATACCATTAGTAACCAGGAGGGGTTGGGTACTGAGCGTTAGTTTAATCGTAGTATGGGGCTCCACGACTATGCTCACTTATACTTATATATCCATATTTGAATGCTTTCTAAATATCGTCATTCCTCTTTGTTAAGTATATATAGCGAACTCTCAACTTCGATTCACAGTTCCAGTACAAGCGTGAATCGTCTACGTATGCTGATAGTGGTTGGTTGATTAAACCATATCTGATATAAATAAGCTGCAGTCTACTTTGTCACATTTACAGGATGAAAGAAAATGAAGTATTTTCCTGTAGATTAAATTTGTTTAAAAATAACGACATTTTCATCGTAAGTGTAAACTACATTTCTCAAACGTGTAAATAGTTAATTTTAAGAAAATGCGATTACTTAACCTGAATGAGAGCAAGTTCTGTGAAATTCAAACGTCTAAGTAAAAGTGTTTCAACATCATTAAAAGAAAATAAGCCGACTGTTCACCCTATGTACTGTTTCTCTAAGTGTTACGTAATCGGTATAAAATTTCAATGTCAGTTGTTAATAAAAAAGGATTAGTTACACACTGTTCACTTCATCGGTGAAGAAATCTGTTTCTACAAAAATGTAGACACAATTTAGAACACTTGCTCTTGAGTAGAACACTTTATGAATACGTCAATTTTATTGTATATATTTCTGTCAAAATGTTTTTTTCACATTATTTCTTGTGAGTAACACCGGTTATTATTATTATTATTATTATTATTATTATTATTATTATTATGAACTTCTCTGAAATTGTATAGAAGTGGGCACTGTTTATTAGAATAATGATACATTAAAATTAATTATTAACTTTACTGTGTACTTCTAATGATTTAACTCGTTAATTTACTTATGAGTAATAGGAATATAGTGAAGAAAATGTTTGTTCTCTATAGAATGTTGTTAGGAATGATTACATAGAAACGGTTAAACTATGTATGATAAGTGGCTTCATTTTATTTAGAGTAAAGTGAAGTGACCTCATGTGAAATCGTTATCAGTTTATCACTTGTTTTATAGAACATATATTTTAGTGAAATTAAGTGTTGCTAAGTTTTATTTGGCCTGATTTATATACTGACACACAGTTGGCTTCTCAAGAAATCAAGATAATTTCATAGTGTAAATAAAATAATAAATTTTTTCCATGATTATATCCAAAGTGAAATCTTCATATTATTATTATTGTTATTACTATTATTATTATTATTAAGACTACGCTGAACCTAGTAAACGTTAATGGATGAATGTATATAAATGTAAACAACCCGTTTTTAGTGCTATTTGATTTGGTTATACGTTGCAATGATTGACATGAATTTACTTGTTTTGGCAAACCTAAATCTTCCCAAACTTAATCATGTCGCATCATTTTTATTCTAAGTTTATTCTTATTTGTATGAGATTTTTATATCTGCTCCCTTCTTTTTACATTTCTTTCATACGTTCCATAGATTTCGAAGTGAAACCAAGTAATCCAGATGAAACAGTTTATAAAAGAAATCAGTTAAATAAGGTTTTGGATTATTCACCAAATGATCAAAATGCCATCACGGATGGTAGTCATAATTTAACTAATGGTAAAATGAATGTATCATTTCCTCCTAACCTGTCTACAATTGGTGAAGTGAGTATTGTGATTTAGTATTTATCTCCCATTACTACTGTATCTTTTGGGATATACATATACCTTAATTAAATTACTAGATAGTGTTGAATGGTTACTGTATATCAACCAATAAGAGGAAAGTGAATATGCATAGTTTAGTTACTTAACAATTATACAATAGAAATGTATGTATAGTGTTAATCCATGAATGGATCCCAGCAGTTAGCATTCACTATTCTCATTGAGACATATCAGGAGGCTATCACAAATGAACATTCAACCACGTTGGTACATTAAGTCATTAAAATTCGGTGGTTTATCCAGTCAGTGGTTTCGATCATTGCACAGAGCCCCACAAGGTTGTATTCCAGTGTCCGTAAATGGACTCCATTATGATTGAACGACACTGATCCTGGTGACATGTATATCCTACTTGACTTCATATATACTCTGTCGACTAAATGCTTTAATACCACATAGTCATGAAAATTCAGACAGGAGAAGCTGAAAAGGTTTATTCGGTGAACAATGAATGACTTCGTCCTTATATAGAGTGAATAATACATGAATTACAGATGACCAATTAAAGCAGAGACAACAGACACGCATATGGCAAGTACACATAAAACTGAAGTTAACCGTAAATAATTAACAAGTACATATATACGAAAACAACAAATGAATACACTATGATCAGTAACGTTAAATTTAAATATACACAGGTCAGTTTATGGTCACCTAACAGTTTATAGAAGTCTATCGTACTAATTCATGATATAGCTGAAAGTTTGATTATGTTTATGACTCAAGTTTATATGGGTCACTCCATCATACAGTGAAAGATACATGATGTGCTGCAAGGTAACTTGTGGTTATTAGATTCGTTTTTTATTACATATCTTCCTCCTTGTTTAAATATTATTTATATTCTATTGGAAATAATCCTAAATTCACATGCTATAATTTTTAAACGATGTATTTTCTCCCAAACCTTGCCACCTTTTGGATTAATAATTTGTATATTCTTTGTTCACTTATGTTTCAATATGATGGGAGTATTTGGGATGAATGAAAGTCGAGAAATTTCTAACTTCAGAGATCATATTAATTAATTCTGTTGCATTTGTGAATCAAAACACAAATTTCAGCGAAGGGATCACTTTTCAACGAATTTATTATCAAGCTGTACAATCGTATATATATGAAAATTTTGTTTTTGTAAAAGTACTAATTCCGTGATCGTATTAAGGACGTTAATGCTTCCGAAAAACACATGTTCTCGCTTGACGTTAATTCTTTGTTCACTAGCGTACCTTTAACCGAAACAATATGTTATATATGTGAGTATATTGATTCTAACAATATAGATCTAGGTTTGCCAACTGAACACTTGAAAGAATTATTGTTACGCTGTACTTTTAATATCCAGTTCAGTTTCAATAATGAAATATATAGACAAAGGGATGGGATCTCAATGGGGTCTCCATTGGGTCCAATTTTAGCAGACTGTTTCATGGCAAAAGTAGAAAACGACCAACTCCGTTCAATGATCAATCGATTCCACCTGTACGTGAGATACATGGACGACACGTTTGTTGTTTGTGACAATAATATTGATTTAGATGATATTCTACATACCTTTAACTCGTGCCACCCTTCCATAGACTTCACGTTAGAAAGGGAACAAGACCAATCAATTCCTTTTCTCGATGTACGTCTGATGAGAACGAGTAATGGTTCTTTAAAAAGATCCATCTTTAGAAAACAAACATGGAATGGCCAGCTAACCAACTTCTATAGCTGGGTTCCGTTAAGTAGGAAGAGAAACCTTATCCATTCTTTATGCCATCGCATACATCACATATGCAGTACGGAATGCATTAACGAAGAACTCGCATTCCTGAAGAAGACTTTGACGGAAAATGGTTACCCAGAACGGTTCATAGAAAAGAATATGAATAAAAGTAGTCGCGAGAAGAATTCTAGTTGTTCCGTTCCAAAGAAAAACCTTTATATAAGTCTGGAATTTAAAGGTGACCGAACATCGGACGTAATCAAAAACCGTCTAACAACAACTATTAGAAGAACATTTAACGCGGCAAAACTGCGAATATCCTTCACTAGTAGAAACTTATTTTCTGTATCCATAAAAGATAAGCTCCCGCGTCTGGTCGCCTCCATGTGCATCTACCAGTTCACCTGCTCTTGTGGAGCAAGGTACATTGGCCGTAGCCAGCGCTCGCTTTCAACTCGGATACGAGAACATATCCCAGCCTGGTTCTATAAGGGTGAAAGGAAAGCAGTTAGGAGTTCTATTCTTGAACACCTAATCGACTATAACCATTCAACAGATCCACAAATTGATTTTAAGGTTGTTTATATGATTCGTTCAAATCTACCCAGATTTCTTCGTATACAATTTTTAAAAATAGCCGAAGCTCTTGCCATCCAGGAGCTTAAACCAGAACTATGCGTACAAAAGAAGTACGTCTTATCGTTATCGTTACCTTGGCCTTAATTAGTTTGATTATCCTATCATTAATGTTATTATTATTATTATTATTATTATTATTATTATTATTATTATTATTATTATTATTATTATTATTACTGCATTCCCCCTTTACTTATGTCTTATATTCTCATTGTTTTATTCATGAACGCTCATCATATCAGTTTATTTTTGTACACCTCTATGACCTTTAATTATTATATCAAAAACATTTTAATCATTTTAATCATCTTATTATATTCACCAAATCCATTGTTATTGTTATTATTCATATTACGTAATCTAGTATTATAACCTTTATATTAACTGTGTTCACATTTCCTCACGGAATTAGTACTTTTACAAAAACAAAAATTTTCATATATATACGATAGTACAGCTTGATAATAAATTCGTTGAAAAGTGATCCCTTCGCTGAAATTTGTGTTTTAATTTTTATGTTTAAATGGGAATTATCTGGCATTTGTGAATCGTTTGTTTTCCAAACTAGCGATGAACCGAGAGTGGATATTACCCTAGATACCTTGTATTCACAGTGCAATTGAAGAGTTATGTTTTAGGTCTATTTTGTGTGGGATTAAATGAAACCATGCTGAAAAGAAGCAGTCTGAACTATTATGCAAATAAGTATTTTGCATGATATCATTTGTTTCAATTGAATGATTAGACCAATTTTAAGCCTATATATTGTGACGTATAACACATGAAATGCATTGTTAATATTTTTGCTACATATAATCTTCACTTAATTATTACTCATTCTTCTGGATATAGGAACCAGATCCTATCGATTCAGTTAAAGATCGTCCTGCTGAAGCTCAAGTTTTCTCTTCTTTACAAATTTTAACAGCTGTTTTTGGATCATTTGCTCATGGTGGTAATGATGTAAGGTATGGATATTTAACATATTTTTTCAATAAATCAAACTGTGTATATAAGAAAAATTCACTTATATTACTACCATTGAAGTATACTCAGTAATCAGAACTTAAGATTATTTATAATTGGTATAAAAAATGAGTTGAATCTCCACAATGGAATATTAGCATTCATCAACTGAATAGAGTTTCAAGAAATGGTGTAACACGTTACAGTCTGTTCATTTTATACTTATTTGGTAGTTGTTTACGAAATGAAATCAGTTGACGTTATTTTAGGAGATGAAATATAAAATCTAGAAAATTCTAGATATTACAAAGATAATATCTATCATGAGACCAGTTTAGAAAGCTTGATTTTTCACAATGGTTAAATTATTCCTAGTTATCATTTGACAGTTACTCTCTTTGCATGTATTCAGTGTTAACACTTTGTTTCTATTGTGTAGGTGTTATAATCTCTTTCTTCTTACGGTTATGACCCAGCTATTCCTATTGCTTAGTATTCTCGGACACCGATTCACTCGACAAGTCCCCAAATCAAAACACGGTTGAACAGGAAGAAGATTATATTCCAAATAGCAAGTCAGAAGCCAGTAGGAAGCACAATAGGGAAAAACGTCGGTATATTTATAGTTTTTACATAAGAAGATTCCAGAATATTCTCCGACTATCGACTAGTGCTGATTGGATAAGAATCAGCCAATCAGCGTGCACCAAAACAATCATGCATTGAGCATGCTTTAATCTAGTCTATGTCCCGCTAACACCTCCCCTCTGAGCAGATTCGTAGGATCTGGTGCTAGGGTCCAACTGCAACTGAGTGACTGGCTTGTGCTCTCGATTAGTCCATCGTCTAAGCAATAAAGAATTATCACTTTTTTCTTGCACAGAGACTGACATGTCTGTTCCCGGCGTTTTGATTTTTTTTTAAAAAAAAGTATGCATAACTTTTAATTCTCCAACATTCTCCTCCTCCGCGAAACAATGTCGGATCCTTATATCTCCAAATTACAAATAATAGGACTTTATTTAAACGACGTTTCTCGCATTGAATGTCGGATTCACTAGAAACGACTAGATGATAATGAACGACCTTTGATTTGAGGTCAAAGTTTAATTCTTCTGAAGCATTAATTCAAATCCATTAGGAATTTCATCAGTGGATAATGGATCATTACGGAAATCAACATCTAACAAAATTAAATTAGACTTTTGACCATAATTTGACTCAGCTGATATATTTTCCTGATTTTTATGAGAAATTTCATCAAAATAACATGCATTGTTCTGAGAACCCATGTCTGATACATTGTCATTAGAAATCGGATAAGCTGATTCAATATAAGTTTCTGTCTCACAATGATTTTGAGTAACATTCGGTATAATTGGGTTCGTTGTGTCACTGCAGTTATTTTCTGAATACGAGTCCCCATAGCTTTCTTGGCTTATATCACGTGGACCATAAATTTGTTCTAGCTGAAAGTTATTTTCAGAGCTAGACAGGACCAGTAGTGCTTCATTCAATTCTGAACTCCGGGCTTCATCTACAGGGTCTGACTCTTGATAATCTCGTATTGCCACAACTTTATGAGCATTCAGCACAGGATTTTCTTGCTGTGAGCTGGAAACGTTACAAATATTACGTTCTGATTCAGGCATAAAGGGATTTGAACCCTCCACTAGATATGCTTCTGAAATGTCTGTTACTGCATCATAAACAGATTTCTTATTTTCTGGTCGAGTAAAAAGTGTGTTCAATAGTTGTTGTTGCAAGGCTAACAACTTCTGCTGGTGCTGTAATATTAACCGCAACTGTTCTAAAGAAATCACCATTTTTCTTTAGTTTTTCCCGGTCGCCATTGTTATAATCTCTTTCCTCTTACGGTTATGACCCAGCTATTCCTATTGCTTAGTATTCTCGGACACCGATTCACTCGACAAGTCCCCAAATCAAAACACGGTTGAACAGGAAGAAGATTATATTCCAAATAGCAAGTCAGAAGCCAGTAGGAAGCACAATAGGGAAAAACGTCGGTATATTTATAGTTTTTACATAAGAAGATTTCAGAATATTCTCCGACTATCGACTAGTGCTGATTGGATAAGAATCAGCCAATCAGCGTGCACCAAAACAATCATGCATTGAGCATGCTTTAATCTAGTCTATGTCCCGCTAACAGTAGGATTATCAGAAAAAAATTGCTGGAAAAGAATAATTGAAATGATTGAACATGTCCTATTTGTTCATACTCACATCACTTGTAGCTATCTGTCATTGCCAAGTTATTCAATAGTAACTAATTTATTCAACTGATAACAAATACGTCTGGACGTCATAAACACTTACTATTAAAGATATTGATGATAGATTTTAAAGCTCTTAATATTGCTTTCTGTTAGGAATTCTGTTTTTATTGAAATAGATATAATACAGTAAAATATTTCTTTAGTAAATAAAACATTATTCATGATTTGTAAAGTATAATCATGTTGCTAATCAGAGCAGTTTACATTTTGAGAAGAAGATAGTGGAAAATATCTGTGATGATGTTCATTCTGATATCCATTATTATTATTATTATTATTATTATTATTATTATTATTATTATTATTATTATTATTATTATTATTATTATTATTATTATTATTATTATTATTATTATTATTATTATTATTATTATTATTATTATTATTATTATTATTATTATTATTATTATTATTATTATTATTATTATTATTATTATTATTATTATTATTATTATTATTATTATTATTATTATTATTATTATTATTATTATTATTATTATTATTATTATTATTATTATTATTATTATTATTATTATTATTATTATTATTATTATTATTATTATTATTATTATTATTATTATTATTATTATTATTATTATTATTATTATTATTATTATTATTATTATTATTATTATTATTATTATTATTATTATTATTATTATTATTATTATTATTATTATTATTATTATTATTATTATTATTATTATTATTATTATTATTATTATTATTATTATTATTATTATTATTATTATTATTATTATTATTATTATTATTATTATTATTATTATTATTATTATTATTATTATTATTATTATTATTATTATTATTATTATTATTATTATTATTATTATTATTATTATTATTATTATTATTATTATTATTATTATTATTATTATTATTATTATTATTATTATTATTATTATTATTATTATTATTATTATTATTATTATTATTATTATTATTATTATTATTATTATTATTATTATTATTATTATTATTATTATTATTATTATTATTATTATTATTATTATTATTATTATTATTATTATTATTATTATTATTATTATTATTATTATTATTATTATTATTATTATTATTATTATTATTATTATTATTATTATTATTATTATTATTATTATTATTATTATTATTATTATTATTATTATTATTATTATTATTATTATTATTATTATTATTATTATTATTATTATTATTATTATTATTATTATTATTATTATTATTATTATTATTATTATTATTATTATTATTATTATTATTATTATTATTATTATTATTATTATTATTATTATTATTATTATTATTATTATTATTATTATTATTATTATTAAGCAATAATCGTCTGCAATTTCTGAAAACGAAAGAGGATTTTTATAATCTCTGTTTGACACTGGTATATAGTTTTAACAAAAAATCGAAGAGGTTATTTAGTTACTTGATAATGCTCTGTGTTTTTGTTTGAAGAAACCTAATTTAATTTCAGCATTGTTCGTGTTACGTCTTTAATCTGTCTACCGAATAATATACGGGTGAGAACATGCCTCGATGTAGATTAAGACCTTGACACGAGAGGCTAACTGGTTTTATCTTGAGGCTAGAAATGTATGAGTCCAAATTAAAACTAACAGCCTTGAGCAGAGGGACGAAAACCATCTTATGACGTGATTGGTGGACAAGCGAGAGAGAAGACGAGTCAATTGGAATAAGAGACTTTATGGAAATGGCCGGCTTCTACTCGAGAACAACTGTATTTTCTCCACGAATGTCTTCGTGATATGTCTTGTTGTTGGAATGCTACTTTTTGTATCTGGTCGTCGCTGATTGTTGTGTTGGAAACACTTATCAGTTATACGCGAAACGAAAGACCTCTGCAATTCCCACGACGCGAATGCAAAAACACAAGACTGGTATAAGTGATGAATTATTAACCCCCCAAAACACGACGACGACCCTAGTCGAAGATACACTCACATTTATATATTAATTTTACACACACTTTGAATAATAACTAGGATGAAAGCACATATATATATAAATACTCATTTATAACAAATCAGATACTGAGCATAGTTCATATCAATTGAATACAAGAATATCGTATATTATACATAATAAAATATCATACGAGAAAACAAAACGAATACTACCCTGAATAATCATCACGTTGAGTCAAAATGGAAGTAACGTTGAACAAAACTCATAATGAGTAAATCAATAGGATTTCGGATTTTCTTCCCGTCATATAGCTTCGTCCAGCTCAGAGAACAAAGCCCCTTCAGGAACACTACTCGATTTATTTCCGATCGCCACGTCCCAATGCAAATCAGTGTAAAAAGTGTGTGGTAGTGAATCATACATCAAACGAAAGCTCATGGTTCATAGAGTAAGCTAGAGACAAAACTAAGTGTTAGTATTTTACCAAGTTTGAATTAACCGAAATAACGTCTCCATAAATAGCTTCCGTTGTCTGTCATGGTTTCGTTGTTTTTCTGTTCACGTTCGATCAGAACTGTAACTTCTTTTATCCTTTAGGAGATCACAGTAATCCTGAACGTTTGCACATCTTTTTACATAAAATGAATGACATATATGTATGCCCTTCTTTTTCATACACCATTTGTAATATCACATTTTTAAACGAGAAAGCATATTCAATAGGAACTATGCTTCTTAGAATTGAAATGTGGAATACGTAAGGGTCTAAGGATTTCTTAAATGAAATGAGATACTTGTACGTTAGATTTGAATTACGGATCTTTTATGAATTACTGGTATATCAAAGTATAAATCCGCTTTAGGCTAAACTAACATAAATTTTATATGCTGTCACCCATTCAGTTATTTAAAGATACCGTGGTGAACATTCGAATCATACAAAGTTTTCCTGAGGAAGAATGGTAGTCATAATCATTTTCAGACTACTCATTCAAAACAATAGTAGTGGTAAACTTGTTTCACTGCTAACCCATTATAAAACATGAAGTCCATGTTTAAACAATTCACTTAACATGTCAGTTTTTTATGAATTATTTTTTATGCAGTAATGCTATCGGGCCGTTGATTGGTTTATGGCTTATTGCTACAACACAATCAGTTGATTCATCGAAAACTACAGATGTTTGGATTTTGGTTTATGGTGGTGTTGGTATATCAGTTGGTCTTTGGATATGGGGTAGACGAGTTATTCAAACATTAGGTGAAGATCTGACGAAAATATCACCTTCCAGGTAGGTGGGTGATCTTTTTGCACAGAAATATGTTTATTGTAGATATTCTATGTGTTAAATACCATCTCTCGATCAATTTGAATAGTTTTGGTTGTAATTTATATTTCATTTTTCATATTTATTCGAATGTTTCTATTTGCTTGATCTATGAAGTCGTTTTTCACAACTGACACTTTATTTTAGGTCATAAGAATCATTCTCTGATAGAACAACAGTAAGTAAAAACACGAATTTAAAGAAGAATGTTGGATCACTGTGGTGGTGGGATGTAGTCGATGTAAATTCTTACCAAACCTGACAGAGGATCAAGTTTAAGACCTTAATTTCTTGAGATGAGCACTTAACCTTCAGACCACTGAGCTTGCATCTAATGGTTTACACCAACTGCAATCAATTAGCGATATTGTGCAACCACAATCCATTTCCTGTGATGGGTAACTATCTCACACTTGACTGGTCACGCCTTCTCATTGGAACTCTTGGAAATTTGTCACTATTGAACACAACTATTATTGGTACGGCGTTTGTAGAAATAGTTGGATTGGTTTCGTTTATATACACTATATATAGGTCGGGCGTAAGTGTATGAAAATGGAAGTTCAAGAAAACTCACTAATTCTTTACTATACATTTTCACTGAATTGTTTATTTTTATTATTAATAAGATTAGTATCATTATTCTTTTATTTTGTTATCAGTGGTGTTTGTATTGAAATTGGTTCAGCCCTAACTGTATTAATTGCTAGTAAAATTGGTCTGCCAATATCAACTACACATTGTAAAGTTGGTTCAGTCGTATTTGTTGGACGTGCACGTTCTAGAGACAATGTTAATTGGGGTATATTTCGTAATATTCTAGTTGCATGGTTGGTAACCTTACCCGCTGCTGGTGCTATCTCTGCTTTACTCATGTATATATTTACATTTGTAGTATGAATTTAGTTTATTATATTATTATTATTATTAATAAATATTTTATGATTAAAAATCTGTTTTTATAAGTAAAAAAGAACGAACAGAATAAACTAAATCTCACAAATCATTAATGTAACTTCTTGTTTGTATCCTCATTCATTTTGAGCGAACTGATTGATTTTTTTCTGCTCACTTTTTCATTTATGTACTAGATTTCTATTGTTTTTGTTCTTTTTTTCGTTCAACACATCCGCTTGTAAACACATATGCACATACACAGAATAGAAAAACATTTGCTTTTCTCCCTCGTTATCATTACTATTATTATGAACTGATCTCGTATTAATTAGATAAATGTTCTTATTAGTACAAGTGGTGATGGTTTATTTAGTTGATGTTCTGTTTAAAAATAAAAGTTCCCTTAATCTCTCACCATCTTTATTACGTTCAACGTCTGTGGAAATAGTACCCTATTTACCAGTTAACACTGTACACAGTTTACTCACATACATGCACATAAACAGAGACAAGGAATAGTAAAAAGAAAACAGATTTGTAGCAACATCCTTTTGAATTGTAACATAAAACATTATTATTTCCTTGTAATTTTGTTTTTATCAACTAATATTAGTGAAAAAAAGTTTTATTTTTCTAGTTACTACTTCCTTGATAAGTTGTTTGTTTAATGAGAAGTTATTATTAATTATTAATTTATGATGTGATTCAATTAATTAATTAAGAGAACCTTTGAAAAATGTTTGTTCGGTTGTTTTTTCCCCATGTTTCTTTATTAATCATATAAACTATAGGATAGATAAATTGAACTAATGATATCACTTTTTGTAAGAAATAAATCTTGGATTTGTTTCGATCAATGATGAGACGACGTTAATACATAGTAAAATGGTATTATATTCACTTTGAACACCATTATTTACAGTGGTGTTATTTTCTTTGAGCTGGATGGTTTGTTGTAGGGTCTTTTTTATTGTCGTCGTTGACTGCATCATGTAGAATATTCTGGTGGAGATTTTCAAACAATAATGAATGCTTTGCAATTAAATCATCCATTTGATGAAAGTACATAACACTACCAAATAGATTGATAGGAGCTCCATTATTTCGATATTACTTATCTTTGAATAGTGGATAGATAATGGATGTTATCATATTGTATCTTAGATCTTATTTCAATATACTGAGTTATCTCAAAATGTATCTTTACATATAGACTTTTTAGTGGGTAAAAATGTACTAGTTAGATGATATTGTATTTTATCCAGTGAGTGAATATAATTGTAGTGAGTAAAATAGGTATATTGAAATGAAAATGGTTGTCAACGATATGTGTAAAGTGAATAATACATATAAATGTATCAATAGTAGTTGTATATATCTTTTATGATGGTAAGAGTGCTGATAATTTCAATACTGTAAATAAATCATGATACTGAGGAAGGAAGGTGATTTACTGTGTTTGTTTTATGTCGGTTTCGAAGTATCTGGACTTTACAGTTTACTAAGATTCCCTGCAAAAAACCACTCAGTCCACCGTATTGTACGCGATTAACGAGGACGTGAAATGGATCTGAAGTTTTGGTCGTCAGTCTAGTGCAAGCTTTTTCAAAGAAGATAATCAAATATAAATACATAGTTCACAGGTCGATTGTATGCTAAACAAATTGTCCAATCATGTGAACAATGCATTAAGTGAGATTTGTTGTGGTGCGTACGAGTCACTTGGTATGAAAAGTATGGAAAATTGTGATAAGACAGCATGTGTATGTGTGTTTATGTAGACTTGATGTGATAAAAATTTACCTACCTCATATCCCTCTGGTTATGATTGTTGGTGCAATTCAGTGATTTGATAGATGTCATAAAATCAACATGTCGCAGCATACATAAAATGAGGATGACTAGAGAAATAAATGTAAATTTGTGTTGTTGTGTTAAACAAGCGGATCGTTCATCGTATATTTGACAAATTAACTGATTAGAACAAATGAAAAATAGTAGTTATTGTCCACATAATGAAAGAAGTGAAATAAAATAGAAATTGATCTATTAATTACTAGTTGCCATCGGGAAACTAATTGTATTCTATCTCTTCTACGTATATTGTTTGAGTTTGTCTATATATGTAGGGCTCCATCCTTCTGAGCTTTAGGCAGAGTTTGTGTCTCCTCACCCGCGCACTGAACCATCGTGATGTCTCGTCCACTCATACATCGTCATAGTCTTTACATTTGGTCACATAGACTCGATTTTGCTATTTCTTTCATATTGTATGCTAGAGCCTTACTAGTTTAGCATTAAGAGTATTGTTCGTTCAACAACAAAAACACGTATTGTAGTGCTTTAGGGTCATTCCGATTTCTGACGATTAACTATGTTGATCCATTCTCTTAGTTTTTCTTTTCTCTTATCTTTCTGACCCTAATCATTCCTTTTAAAACGTCCCTAGGTTGGTTATTCATCAAAGTAAACATAAGCAAATCCAAACCAGCTTCTTTATCAATTAGTTCTGAGACGAGTTTCTGAACTCTGTTATCGGATTCGTAGCGACTCTCACCTTTGTAAAAGGAGCATGTGATGACTTGTAATCTAGATATGTTTCGGAATATGTTTGATTTTGGAATATAACAATGTTTAAACAATCATCACTCTTCCTCACAAGCAAACAGTCAAGAAATGGCAGTTTGCGATCAGTGGATCCGATTTCTGTAGTGTACTTGGTGTTATCAGATATACTGCTGACGTTTTTAGAAAATTCGTCTCAATCTCATTCGTAATGATAAATCGGTTATCTATATATCTCAACGAGATTGTAGGTGATTGGGGACAATTTGAGATTTCTCTCGTTTCCAATCAATGAACAAACAGGTTAGCCATATTTGCGGCTATCAGTGATCTCGCAACCAACAGTCGACCTTATTAGTTGAAGCCACATCTTAGTTTGACTGCCTCTAGCTAGTAAAATTATTTAGTAAGTCGTATCTGGCAAAGCAGAGCATATAAGTTTTACGAGATTTCTCTCGACACATAAATTAGGGTCATCGACATTGAATCCGATAGGGAAAAGACCAAGTATACTATGTATCGCTCCAAATAATTTGGTTTTATCTATCGCATAACCACTGTCAAGCAGGTGCGCCAAGATAGAGTTGTGTATTGTCTTTGTCTGAACATTTCCTAACCACGAAGAGAAGCTCATTTGTACTGATTATTTTAATTTCTCCCCTTGATGTTAAGAAGTGCAATTGATCGGTGCTCCACGGCATATGTGTATCCTAGTGAGTGAAAATCAACTCTCGGATGCAGGTATATCCAGTTGATGAGTCCCAAATAGAGTGAAATGCACGTTCTCAATTCTACTGCTAGCCACCATCCATCTTTGCTCACAGACAGAGAGATGCTTACTCAATCGCTGATTAAATTTCTTGGTAGTACACTCAACGAATGCAAGCAATTTTACAGAGTTTTTGGGTCTATATAACTAAACTACAAATAAGGGTATAGTCATTGCATGTTTTGCCTGAATCGTTATGTGGTGGTTTAGCTTTAAGAAAATTTGAGAAATGTCTAGAAATAAGTGAAGATATTTCATAGTATTATGGTTATGGATTGTTGACATTTCTTGGATAATTAAATCAAACATCCATTTGAACTGCTGTACCATACTAATCCAATGTCAGTAGTTCTCATGAATTCAATTACTCAATTACGTACTTTTGTTCTAGCTTAAATGAAAAAGATATAGTCGTGGGAATGTATTGACTGTTTATTGGTGTGATCAATTTATGTGCCTATGACTGACAGATTTCAATGCTCTGCTCCCTGACTCGGATGAATACGGAAACACCTGACTAACTAGACTCACTTCTACAACTCGGGATATTCTTTTGTATTTATATCAGTATATTTACCTTCATTGTCTGTTTTAACTCTGATGAACAATCTTCGTTATCCTATTTCAATATTTATCGGATTCTGCTTATTATTTGGGAACTTATACAACGATGCACAATCAGCTTATAGTGTCGACCGACCGATTAAATTATGAGGAAAATATGGATGAAATCAACTAAGTAACCTTTCTTTTGAAAACTTTACATAATCGCGAACCATTTTAATGAAGCTGGAACGTCATTACAGAGATAATTTAATTGTTTATAAAGGAATACGCATGGCATTTGTGACAAGGTCTTAATTATAAAGAAAAAAACATTTAATTAACAGCTGATTGACAATTACTTAGTGTTAATGATTTAAAAGTAAAGAGAATTCAGCGAAGATAATTTTGTTTTCGACGAAATCATTTATTCAAATTGTACATTCGTATTTATAGTTTTGTGGTAAATACATGTCTATAGAGGGATTAAAAAGGTTGCATCATAAATCTTATTTATTAATTTATTAGTTATTTGAACACACAAACATTGGTACAAATGGACAGCAAATACATATGCACCACACAATAGCTGTGAGAATTTTGAAGAGATAGGGAATTAAAAGTGCCCATAGGAAAAAGGAGAACTATAACGGACTAAAATTTGTGTACGATAGTGAAATAATAATGGGAGAGGCAGTTCAGTTAGCAAAGGTATGTAGTGACTCACATTTATCACGAGAACACGACTGGTTTAATAAAAACAATAATTATTATAACCAACTGTACCAGTGTTTGTTTTAATGTGCTTTTGTTTGACTGCTAATGACAGCTATATTGTGCTTCCATTCTTATTCTTACACTTTTGATCGTGACTTCGCGCGAATTCGGTTACGTTCTGTAACCAAGCTTGTATCCTGGCACGATCTCGGTATCCTTTCGATACCACGAGATCGCCAGCAAATATATCTCGACTTGGTCCATTAACTGCCTTCTGATATTTGGCTTCTCGGGGATTTTATGGATTTATTTGGTTACGTTCAACCTTCGCCTTCTGATTTACTTGGCACGTGTTTCTTTGTAGCGGTGTTCATAGTTAGTCTCGACTCGACGCCACGCCACTGGTACAACCAGAATGAATTTTTTTCAGTTAATGAAGTTACGCTCATATTTTATGAAGAAAGTAAAAGAAAGTTACATCAGGATCACCACTGGCTTCTACTCTGCGTCATATCTGATAACGTCATAAGCCACTGTTGCACCATCTCTAGGACCCCAACCAGGGAGTCGTGAACGACCAGCGGGAGCCAGTCATGTACAGCGTTCTTGATGACACGGAACCTTCTACTACACTGATCACCTCTTCACTTCTTGTAATCAGTCTCAGCACCGGAAAGTAATACACGATGTAGAATTCTCTGGGACGACATCCATAGAAAATGTCCAAGCCAACAAAGTAGGAGTTTACAGATAGTGATACCAACTGAATTATCGTCTCTGTGCCCGAACACACAATGTCGAACCTCTGCATTACTAACATGGTGGTGCCACAGGATGTCAGCAATCTTGCGGATACGACGATGATCAAATACAGAGAGTCATCTAACATCCTAAACTCAGAGAGGCCAGGATTCACAAACATTAAGTAAAACTGCTCTCATCAATGAATGATAGACTTAATATTTTACAGCCAAACTGACATCACGAAGGCGCCAATGATGGCCGAGATTGGCATAAGCCACTCTGGCTTTCACTATACATGAATTGATCTCATAACTCACGCCACCACCATCACTTACGTAGCCACCCGGATACGCGAACTTCATGACTACTTCCATTTGCTCACTACTCAGGCTGAGTGCAGGTTCATAGTCCTTCCAGTGCTTACTGCATGACTTGAGCATTATGGTGCAGTATGACAATACCATCGCACATTCACCACCACCATTACCTACATCCATCAGAACCATTTCCAGAACGTCATCGATAGCAATGTTGAGGAGCAGTGATGAGTTTGGGCAACCCTGCCTAACCCCACTGCGTGAATAAAGCAGTGGAGAGACGTGGTTATGTTCCTTCATTCTGTCCGAAGTGTTTGTATATAGGGTTTTTCAAGTTGTTAATAATTTTCTCAGACACGTCCTTCTTCAACAGAATCCCAGATAACAATAATTTCCAATGAATCGAAGGCAGCCCTAATGTCAAGAAACACTATGATTGTTGCCCTGTAATAAGTATGATAGTATTTTAATATTTGGTGGAGGGTGAAGATATGAACAATACAACCTCGACCAAAAACGAAAGCTAGCCTCCTCCTTGTGAGTCAATCTTTCTCGGGATTTGAACAATCTATGAGTAGGAAGGTCGTCAATAGCTTGGACGCAACCGGAAGTAGACTTACCCCGCGATAGTTGTTGCAGAAACGACGTGAAACCCCTTTAAAGATAGAGACAACTCTCGACTCATTCCATGATGTTGCAACACTATAATTGCAAGAGCTTTATAAATAACCTCAATCAAAAGGTCCCCCACCATCTTTAAAAAAGATTGGAGTTGAGTCATCTGGGCCTGGTGATTTGTGACGCCTCAAATGTTACCGGAAACAAATGTTGTTAGCACGCTCCAATCACCAGACTTCTCTGTCCTTACGCAAGCTTTGCCCAACTTCATTATGCAAAAATCTTCGTTTATGGTCAAACTCGCAGTCGTCCGGAGCAGACCGAAGGGCTACAGTGAGTTGTAAGGGGCCTGCAGTATCTCGATGCTTATAAACGGGGCTTTCCGCGAAGCGGCAAGCGACTTTCCTCGCCATTTTCATAGCATTATGGAATAACAGCCAATGCTCATCTATACTTTTTGATGGGTTGATAGCTAGTCCTGAACCTAGCTTGGTTTGATATTTCGTTGCAACAGAAGCTGCAACTAATTTCCTGACATCGATCTATTTATTTATTTGTTTATTTAAACACATAGATATTGATACAAGAAGGTAACAAACAGATATGTGACACAAGAACCCCTCGATTTGTGTGAGGGATGGGATACTGCTCCGGAGCCCAGACCGAAGCAGAGGGCCACACTCCGAGCCTTTGACCTAGAGGTCTAATCCACAAGGCGGTGGAGCAACATCAGGAGATGCAGTC